AGAGAAATTAACTATAGAGGATATTAGCCTTAATTAAATATATTTATATTTATTGTTATTATATCTCCTGGATAATATTATGATTTATCTAATTAGATAGCTTATTTATATTCACTTTGCATACTTAATAAAGGACTATATAAATGGATAAATAATTAACTTTATGGAGCAGGTAAAGCAGATTTTTTAATTCTAATTATATTTATGGCTGATATATCTAATATATATTAATCTGGAATTTTTATTTATGTATATAGCATATAAACTAAACTATATTATATTTAATCCTAATTGTCTTCATTAATATATATATTATTTATTTTATTGGCTATTTTTATTATTTATGTATTTAATATAATTATCAAAATATTTTTTTTTACCATTTATAATTAATTATTAACATTTTTAATCAATATAAGAAGAAGAGTTTAATTTATTTGGTAAATTAAATTAAAAATTATATTAATATTGCCCCAATTAATATTCGCTATTAATTTTAATTGTGTAAATTAATTTACTTGATGTTTCTTCTGTTTAATAATTTTATCCATAAAAATTTAGCTTTTCTTTTGTTTTCAGATATATATTTATATCAGAGAAATATAATGGTTTATCAGTTTATAATTTTATAACCCCTTTGACAAATTCACCTTCTATATATTCACTTTTTTCTGTTTCAATTAATACTTATCCGGCTTTTTAAGCTAATTCTGATTTATTTAAATTGTTACCCATTTTTAATTTTTAAAAATATAATTAAATATATTTAAAGTAAAAAAATAATAATAAAAATAAATAAATTTATATATAATACTAATAAAAATTAATATTATGTATATATGAAATTTATTTATCTATAAATATAAATTATTATTTTATATTTTAATATTAAATTAATATATTAAAATAATTTATTATAGTACCGATTTAATTTTTTTAAAAAACAAATATATAATAAGAATATATAAATATTAATAAAAAATAAAAAAAAAAATTAATATATAATCTATTGTAATATATTTCTCCATCTATATTAATTTCAAATTTAAACTTTAAATCCAACAATAAATTTTGAAAATTCTAAAAGAAAAGGTTTTATAGTAAAATTAAGATAATCCTTTCAAAAATAGATAAAAACTTGACTTTTTAGGGTTTTTATTTAAAGGTTTACAATATTATTATTATTATTTATAGAATTAGAAAACCTTTATTAACTTAAAGAGAAATTTTTATCAATTAAATATGAATTCAAAAATAGGGTACGTTTAATTTATATTTTTATAGTAAAAATGTATCTATATATATATTATTATGATTACTTATTAATATATTTATATATTCATTTTTTAACATTAAATAAAACTTTATTTATGTAATAAATATTTTATTTAAATTATAAAAAAATAAAAAATAAAAAATAAAAAATAAAAATTGAATAATATTAATAAATAAATAATTATATTTTCTTTTGTTTTTATAATAAATTAAATTATATTAGTTAATGAATTATAAAAATGCTATTCTTTTGCAAAAGAAATATAAAGTATATCATCTTTTATAAGATTAAGTACGAGATTTAAATACATTTTCGCTTAAATAAGACGAATTAATTTATGATTTCTTTGGGCTTTTTTTATTTTCTTAAATGTTAAAATTAATTTCTTTGAAGTTTACATTATATGGTTTATAAACTTCATCTGTAAGTAGATTATCTCTAAAAATCTTGAAAGGTTTAATTTTATTTTTTTATTCAGATGGAACAACATCCTGTTATTTACTTCTAAAATAAAAAATAAAAAAATAAAAGAGAGATAATTAAATAAACAATAAAAAATAAAAAATATAAAAATACTCATTTTATTAAATTTAAAAATCTTTTTAATAATTATCATCATCAATATCATTTTTAAAATCTTAACTAATAATATTAGAATCTTCTGAAATACTTGAATTTTCACTTTTTTACTTTTTTTAAAAAAAATCATAGTCATCATCAAATAATTATTATTTCATATGAGAATCATCATTTTTATTGATATAAACGTCTTCATTTTCTTATTTTTCCTATTAATTTTTGGATATATTAGAAGAAGTATCTTCATTTTTTTTTGCTGCTGCATGCTTTATTTTCTCATTATTTATTCCTTCTTAAATTTCTTAAATTTCTTCATTTTACTTTTTCTCACTATTAAAATAATATATAGAAGAAGTTTTCCCCTTATTAAAATATTCTTCTTCATTAAATCTACCTTCCATAATCTACTCTAATATTTACATACAGGATATATAATCAAGTCTTTTCTTCTCTTCAATTAGCATTGAAAAAAGTAAATAATAAAACTCATCTCCATAATTTCCTTTACTTCTTTATAATAAATACATTAGCATTTTGTCGTTAAATTTTCCATTTTCAAAGTCGTAAACTCCTTCAAGTTTTGAAAGATTTGCCATCCCCAAAATAATTAATCCTAATGAAAAAACTTAATTTTTTATGTTTTTTTTTCCATCAAATGATCCCTATTTTACCTTTTTGAATTATTCAGGAGACAAAAAGCATTCTGTTTATAAGCCTAAAAAATGTCTATTTAAACCACACATGCCTTATGTAAGAAATTTTATATTTGTAAGTTTATATTATTCTGTTTTAGGGTCTATTAATATGGTTTTAGGTTATATATCTTCATGGTCTATTTATTAATTTTCTAAAAAAATCAATGCAGATAATATTTATTACATAAAAGAATATAGTTCCTATTTTTGTTTGTTTGTTTATTTTTGTTTATTTTTTTTATATACATTTATTGAGTAAGGCTCTTAATTATTGATATGGTTTAGAATATCATTTTTTAAGGTATTTGGAAAGTATTCGTATACAAGATCACATTTAGTAATCTTTGAGCATATACTTTCAGACTTTTAGATATTTATTTTTATCAATTTCGCTATATTAGGATGATCTAAGTCAAACTTTTATTTTTATATAAAGGATATGTAATCTTAAGTTTCTTTTTCTGAATTAAATATTTATGTTTTTGTACAATATAATGTTTCAGATTATTCTTATTGACTTATCTCTTCTTGATCTTATTATTTTTGTTTATATACTTTTATTTCACCGTATGAGTTATCGAATTCTATACTATTTAAATATGTTAGATGGTTAAAAATGTTATCCTAAGTTTCTTAAATGTCTTTATATTCAATTTTTTAATCATTTTAAATTGAATTATTTTATTTTTATAGTGTTTATCCCATTTTTTTAAATATTAAATAAATTTATTATATTATTTTAATTTTTATTTTTTTAAAAAATTTTATATAGTTTTTATGAAATAAATAAATTTTAAAAAAAAATGGATAATTATCTTTTAAATGAAGAAAAATTGTTTTTTTTAATATAACAAATGTTCAGAAATAAAGAAATTAATTAAGAATAAAAAGTTTTTTTAAAATGTAATTTTTCTTATTTTTTTTATTTATTTTTTACAATTCATAAATCAAGAATAAATAATAAGCAAAAACTAACAAATTTATAATTTTTTGATAGATTTTGAAATTAATCATAAAAATTTAAATATTTTAAAACAATAAATCAAATAATTAACTTCAGATTTATTAATTAATTAATTAAATGATAATAAAATCTAAAGAAAAGGTTGGAAAAAGCCTTCAATTTACGTTTAATAACATATATAAAGTAGTAATATAATTAAAGTTACAAATTTAGATGGTAATTAGACAATATGAATTACATATATCATTTTAAAATAAAAATTTATAAATAATTTAAACAACTAAAAAAATGAATTTAATAAAAAATTATGTGTGTTATGATGTTTTTTAATGATTTTTATAAAAATAAAAAAATTAAAATAAAATAACTAAAATAAAATTATTTTATATATAATATATTCTATTTTAATTATTAATAAATAAATGTCAAATTTTTAATCTAGTTATACAGCATTTTCTCCATTAATAAAAAAAACTTACAAAATTTGCAAACATTATCTACTGAATATAAATATTTATAAAGTTAATTATAATTAATAGATGATCTATTATAAGTTAATTTTTAAAATAATTTTTTAAATTAATTTTTTTTTATTATTTTTTAGAATAAATATGAATGGCTAGGTGTTTAAGAAATAGTAAAAATATTATTAAAAACAATAAGCGAAGTCATCAAAATATAAGCTGAATAAATTAAGGATTTAGATAAATAAGTAAATATTAATTTATAATTATTTGTTTCTAATTTTTATTTTTTTTTAAAAAAAAAGAATAATTAAAAAATTATTAATTATGATGATATTTAATTAATATTAAAAGATTTTGTAAATAAAGTAGAATTTTAATTTTTATTGTAAAATAAAGTAAATAAGGATGATTTAAAAGAGTTATCTTTACCAAAATATGAAGAATAAAATATAATCTTAAATTATAAATTTGAAGAGTTTCAAAAATAAATTATAAAAACATTAACCAATCTTGTATAATAGAAGGATTTCGATTTTTTACTTAATTAATTATAATAAAAAGTCAGCCAAAAAGAACTCAATGAAACTTTGGAAAATGATAAATAATTTTTTTTGAATCAAATTTAAAAAAGAGCCAATAAAGTTGATTTAGAAAAATACTTTGTAAAAAAAAGCGAGCTTACTTAATTAAAAAAAAATCAATAAAATGAAAATATAGGAAATTATTTATAAAAACAAGATATAAGAGATTTAGTAGAAAAAAGCGAATTTTAAAAAGAACACAATGAATTAAAAATATTTGTTTTTAACTAAATGGAAAGTATGAAAAATGAATAAAATAAAATTATTAATAAAATCAAAGAATATGATTTAAATAATATACTTTTTAATGATTTTGAAAATAAAATAAATTCTTAATTCGATATTAAAATAAATTCTTATTTTGAAAATAATGCTCATCTTTTAATAAAAGATGAATTTAATAATTTTAAAGAACAAATCTTAAAATAAAATTAAATTGGATTATTAGAATAACGATTAAATGATTATATTGAAAAAGTTATTTAATTAGAAAATTAAGTGCTAAAAAATTAAAATCAATATGATAATTTAGAATTGAAAAATTTCATATAAGAGAATTAAAACGAATTTTAAGATAAAATTAATGACTTTGAAAATAAATTTAGTAAAATTTATCAGTTAGAAGATAATCTTAAGGATATTGAAAATAAATATCATTAAATTTTTGAAGGTTTCAAAGAAAATTAGGTAAAATTAGAAGAAAAGAATATAGCCACATTTAATTAAAATAATACATAAATATAAGATAATTTAGAATTAGTTTAAAATAAATTTATTTAAATCGAAAAAAAAATCAACTAACTAGAAAACAAATTACAAGAAAAGTTTAGTTTTGAAGAATAATCTTAAAAGATATAGATTATTGAGGAATATAATATAAATTTAAATTAAAAACTAGAAAAATGCATACTAGATTAATCAAAAATATAAGAAATAGAATTTAAGATAGATCAAATGAATAAAGAAATTGAAAATATTTATGAAAAAATAAAAAAATAATAAGAAGAAGCTATATAATAAAACGAAAACAACTAATAAATAATCAAAGATTAATTTTAAAATTTTTTATAAGAACAAGAAAAGAAAAATGATGAAAATTTAGAAAATAACTAATAAAATTAAAAAGAAGAAGAAAAAAATTAAAAAATATTGAATTTTGAAAAATAAATAAAAACTTTAGAAAATTAAAATTAATAATTGATATAAATAACAAACGATTTAATAAAAAAAAATGTTAATATTTAGGATTTGGATTTAATTTTATAAAATAAATTTTAGAATTTTAATAAGGTTTTTTAAAATGTTTAAAACTTAGAAAAAAATATTATGAATGATATTTAAAAGATAAATAGTGAAAATTAATTATTTGTTAAATCTATTAATGATTAAATTAAATAAAAAGCGGGTAAAAAATAAAAACTTATTATTTATATAAATACAAAAAAAAAACTAAAGATTAATGTGATTTTAATAAATCTTTAATTGATATTTATACAGATTTAGAAAAAAAAGCATCCAATGATAACTTTTTATGTTTTGTAAATGAATAAAGTCTAATAAATGAAAAATAATAATCAGAAAATATAATTGGTAAATGGACTTGGAAAAAAAATTAGAATTAAAAATTAAATATAGTTGAATGGTAATAATAAATATTCAATAATATGCCAGATAACTTTTTATGGGAAAAAAATTGTACTTAAATAGCTTGTGTTAACTAAGGTCTTTATTAAATAATCATTTGCTTTTTTATAGAAGGTAAAATTAATGCAAAGTTTTAAGCCTTTTTAATTATTAATGATTAAAAGATTAAAATTAATTACAAAGATTAAATTATATTTAACAATATAATAAGTAAATTTGTTTTTTAATTTATTTTATTTAACAATTTATTTTAGGTAATACTTTATATGATTTCATAATCTTACCTGAAAGATCAAATATTTAATTAGTTTTTGAGGGCGATTAATAAAATTTATAATTAGAAGGCTTTTTAAGAATCAAAAGATTTTGATGAAAATAATAATAATTTAAATTATTAGGGTTTTTATATAATCATTTATTTTATAATATTTTTGTAATTTTTTCTTTATATAAAAAGTTAATATATTTTTATTTCATGGTGATAATTATTTTTTAATTTACCCACTATTATGTTTATTAAAAAGTAAAAATAATTTTTGTTTAATAATTTGTTTTTTTTTTAATAATAATGTTAAAAACCAAATAATTAATCTTTATTTTATTAAATAAAAAAAATAAAATTAAAAAAATAGTTAAAAACTATTTCATAATTGATTATAATTAAATTAATATTAAAAAAATAAAATTCATAATTTTTTAAAACCATTTTTAATTTTTACTATTATATTTTATTTCTAATTAATAATAAAAATGTAAAGTATATCGTAATTAAGTTAGTTAGTTTTTCAAAAAAGAAATCAAATATCAGAAGTAGAAAAACAAAAAAGAAGATAATTAATAGAATAATAAAAAATACAGCAATAAGAAGACATATAGGTAAAAATAAAATAAAAAATCAATTCATATTTAAATAGTAAATTCATAAACTATTGAAATAAAATAATCGAACAAGTACAGATGCAGAACTGTTTATAAAATAATACGGAAATATTTAATTTTTTAAAGAATATATTTAAGACGGAAAGGTATAACTTGTCAGATAATTCTTTTATAAATGTGATTTAGATCAATATTAGCACAACTAGTATGTGACAAAAAAAGGTTTTTTTTTTTATAAAATAAAAACATAAAAAACAAAAAGGTGAATTTAAAAATAAATTTTAGGTGATTTTAGAAGGATAGTTATCTTTATACTTTGAGTAGACTTAATAAAATAAATTAATTTTATTAAAGAAATTATTCCCAGGTGATATAATAGAAGCTGGATCTTTTTTAGAGTAATAAATCTTTTTTATGACAACAAAAGTAACTTCTGAAGCAGGAGCTAAAATAGTAAGTTTATCTGAGAAAGATTTCTATACTATTTTTAATAGATAAGAAAACGAAAAGCATTAATATATAAAAAACTTTATTAAAGGAATCAATTTATTTTCAGATTGGCCAAATGATAGCATTTTAAAACTTTAATTAGTTGCTTAAGTATATACTGTTTTTAAATCTTAGATTATATATTAAGAAGGATAATAAAGTCATGCCATATTTATAATTAAAAATGGGGAATTCGGGGTATTTTTTAATTTTTGTATTTTTTTAATTAACTTAAATAAAAAAGGAATATAAAAAAAGATCGTTATGGATGAAAAACAAAATGAACATTTAAAATGAATATGATGGTTTTAATTTAAAAAATTATGAAGAATTCTGTGAAAACCCAACAGGAGTTTTAGCCAAAAAAGGTGAAACAAAAAAGCAAGTTATGCAAAAAATATCTAATATTTTAATTAGATCAACTATAGAAATAAATTCAGATTTAGTAGATAGTCTTACTGGGTTTTAGTGTTTTGGAATTTAAGAAATAATTTATAATAAACCTAGATAAACAAGTGTGATTTGCAAATCTTAATAAGGAGAAATTATATAAATAAAAATTAAAGACATGCTATTAATTGCGTCAGAAAGTCCTATTCTGAAGCTTTTAATAATTTAAAAAATGATGATGACATAAAAATAAAATAACTAAACGAATTTTAATGCAGAAATTAACATATTAAATCAGACTGGAAATCAAGCTAAATAATATTCTTTTGATTTATTAAATAGAAATTCAAACGAATTAAAAAATACAGAAAGTAATTCAAATACGTTTTAAAGTTAAAGAAGCTCATAAAATTAGAATGAAAAAAAAAAAATCAATTCAAATGACGAAAGAAATTTGATAAAAAAAGACTATATTATTTAAAAAAAAAATAAAAAATTAGAAGATGATTTATAATTAAAACTACCTTAAATTCCAATTAATAAATTAAATATGAGTATGAATTTTGCTTAAAATAATAAATAAGGAAATAAAAAATAATAAGCCGATCATCAAGATTATAGATAATTGAGTTCAAATTGTTCATAAAACGAATCATATTTTTAATAACTATTGTAATCTAAAAGATAAATAAATTTTTGAATACTAATTTTTATATAGCTTTTACTGATTATTTTTTTTTAAAAAATTATTATTATTATTATTATTATTTTCTTACTTATTTATAAAAGTTAAATTTAATAAATGTATAAGCTTTCTTTTTTAAATGATTAAATAAATTTATATTTAAATTATTAATTAAGGCAGTTTGTCCGAGTGGTTAAGGAGGGCGACTTAAGATCGTCTGGACGTAGTCCGCGTGGGTTCAAATCCCACAGCTGCCAATTTTTTTTTTTTTTTTTTCATATATAAATAATTTTGTAATTTACTAACAAATTATTTATAACTTTTTTGTATTTTTTAATTAAATTCATATATTTTTATTAGTCGTAAAAAATATTTTCAAATTAAGTATTATTTATTTTTATTGATAATTATATAAAAATATATCGAATTTTAGAATAAGATTAATTATTATAATTTCTTTTTTATAAATATAATGATTTGTATTAATAAGAAATATATATAAATATTTAAATAATAATATATTATTTAATTTAATTATTTGATTTTTTATTAAATTGAAATATTTATAAATATTAATTTATTTATAAATACTAAAGAATTTTCGAATCAAAGAAAAATTATTTTATGTCAGGTTAATTTTATTTAATAAAAGTAAATATTTTATTTTAATATTTTTATGAATATTATAAAATTAATATATTTTTATTTTTTGCTTTTCCTTTTTTTTATTATTTTAAAAAATTAGAATATTCAAAAAGGTCTTTTCTTTCTTAATTCTTCCAACTTTTTTTATAAAAATAAATAAATTGAAAAATGCTTTATTATTATTTTACTAGCATCTTTCCTTCGAGTTTTTTTTATTAGATTTTTCTTTCATAATCAAGTTACATTAGCCTTTCTTATTCTTCCTCTTCTTTTTTTTTTTATAACTCTTCGTATTTTTTTCTTTCTTTTTCTGACATTTATCCAATAAGATTTCCTTAATATTTCTTATTTGTCTTTTATTTTTAAATATTATTTAACAAAAAGTTATTTTTAATAAAATTAATTAAACCATATACAATTCTAATCTTTTCCTTTCACATTCCTCTTCATAAGCTTTAACAGCTTTATTTAAAATATCCTTTTCAATCTCCTTTTATTCAATTTCAATTTATGATAATTATTCTAAAAATATGTTTAATTTAAAAAAAAAGAAAAATAAATGTACATTTTAATTCAATATTATCTTTTCTATTATCATATACTTCATGCATTAGTTTGATTCTTGCATCCTTAAATATATTTAAATAGATATTGTAAATTAATAAAATAATTTACCATTTCCTTTTTCCATATTGCTTATTATCTTTAATACTATTTTTCAGCCTCAATTTATATTAACTTATCTAATTCAGCTTCATAAGCATGTGCTTCATTAGATCTATTTTTAAAGTTTAATAAAAATTATTTTGTTTCTTCTTAAAATCTTCTTTTCTATTCAGCTTCTAATTGATCAAGCATTTTTTCTTTTAAGATTATTTTATCAACCATTTCTTTATCTTAAATTTTCTCTATTTTTTTCTCCATTTCTTGTCTTCTCTATAATTCTTCATTGTTTCTTTTTATTTCTTGATTTAATTCTTTGTTAAATTAATTAAGGTCTTGTTGTTGTTTTTAATGTCTTTCTTCTTCTTTTTTCCATTCTTCTTTCTATTTTATTTTAAAGATTAATTATATATATATAGTTTACTAGCATTTATTTTTCTTTCTAATGTAAATTTTTTCATAATTTTCTTTATCTTAATTATTTTACTTTTTTATATAAAATATATTTAACAAAAACAAATAAATATCTTTATTTTCTTACTAATTATGATAAAAGAACTTTTTTTCTTTCTTCAACTTTTTATTATCTTTCTTATTCTTTAATTCTTTCTTCTTTTTCTTTTCTTCTAATATCAATTTTATAAAGTTCAGAATAAATCATCTCCTCTAATAATATATACTTATTTATTTATTTTTTTTTAAAAAATTAACCTTCATATTATTTTTTTAAAAGATCTTATTTTTCCATAATTTAAATATTTTATTCATGTAAAGTTTTAAGTTCTCTAAAATCCGCATCCACTTTTCTTAACTCATCTGCGTTTCTAATAAATTATTATTCAGTTTTTTCTGCAACAAACTTAAGTCTTTCATTTTCTTTTTATTCTTATAATTCTTTTACTCTAATAAGCATTTTTCTTCTTATATCTTCTGTTGTTTCTTACATATCTTTAATTCTTTATTTGTGTTATTCATGTTCTCCAGCTAATAATAAGGCAAGTTTCTATTTTCTTTAATTTAATTATCTTTAAGATTCTTCTCTAAGTTATTAAAGTCTTTGTTTCATATATTTTGCTTGATTCACTTTCTATCCACGATTTTCCCATACAGCAAATTGTTTTTCGTAAAATTCTTAATTTAGTTTTGTTTACAATTTATCTATGTGTTCTTCGTAATTTCTTCTTTAATATATAGCACGAATATTTGGATTTGTTGAAGTTGTGTTTTTATTTATAATCATTTTTTTTATTGAAATTATTTATTTACTTTTTATTTTTTAAAATTTTTTGAATACATTATTTTTTTTTTTTCTAATATTAATTATTAATTTTTGAACTATATAAATTTATTTTTTTAATTTATATTTTTTATTATTTATTAATGTAACTTTTTTTTATAATGATTAACTTTATTTATATTTGTTAGTCTTTTAAAAAATTCATAATCTAAATCTTATTAAATTTTTAATAAAATATAATAAAACATTATTTACTAATTAAATGAAAGATATATTTTATAATTTAGAGAATAAATATTATTTAAATTTTCATATCTAATAAAATTTAAATAAATTAGCATTAATATTAGTAAAATTAATCTTTAAAAAAAAAAATCCAAATAAAAAAAACAATATAGTCGCATTTATAAAAATTTTCTTAATCAAGAAATAATAATAGTCAATAGATAAATAAAAATAGTAAAATGTTCTACAATATAAGGAATTCCAAAATTTCTCATAGGTTCTCTTTTTGTTCTAATATATTAGAGTAATTTTTCTTCAGTATTAAACACTTTTATAATTTATTTATTGTTAATAACTATATCTTCGATCTCTTATTTTTCGTTAAGGAATTATTAATGGTTTAATTAAAGTATAAGAAGCTAAACCTATAACTAGTAAAGTTAATTTGCTAGTAGATATAACATTTAATTTTATTAAAGTCCTTAATATTCAGTGACAAAAAGTATGAACTTTTTAATTTTGAAGTTTTCGTTATTAATAAAATTAGTTTTATTATGAGTATAAAAATTACTAATTGCTTTTCTAACCCCAAAATGTAGAAGCGAATTAATTTTTATATTTTATTTTTATTTTAATTTTTATTTTTCTTTATTATTTTTTGCTTCATTATTTTATTCATTTTTAAAATTTAATATAAGGAAATCATTAAAAGTTTTAAAAATATTTTGTTTTTAATATTAGTTTTTTACAAATAAGTTATTTTCTTAATCAAAAACAAAATAATGCTATTAACTTTTAGTAATTCTTGTAAAAATTTTATCATTTTTTTTATTAATAGTATTATTTAAACAATTTTATGCCTATTTTATTTACTTGAGATTTAAAAGCATTAAATTTTATGAAAATGTATTTTCTTGAAATTAAATAAATCCCAATTAATCTTCATTTTTAAAAAGTACTTCCTTTTATAATTGAGATATTAAAAAAATAATTTTTTTATAATAATTTTCAGAAACAATAACCATATTAATTTTAAAAATAATAGAATTGTTGAAATTTTACAATAGTTTGTCAATTTTTTAAGGAATCTTAATTTGTAAAGATTAAAATGTATCCTTTAAAATATTCAAAGTTACTAATCTATAGAAAGGAAGGTAATATTTTCTGTTTTCGAATTATTTAGTTAGAATTTCAAGAACTTTTTGATAATTCTTTTTAAATAAATATATTCGTGCTTCTTAAATTGTCAAAATATTCACATATATATCATTCGGATAATCATAATTGTTTTCTTTTTCGCTAATTTCTCTTTTTAATTTTGACTTTAAATATTTTTTAATTAAAATCTTCTTATTTTATAAAGATAAACCTTAACTTGGTTAATTTTACTTTTTATTCATAAGCATTGTGCTTTAATTATATGTTCTTAGTTATTAATTTGATATTTATAAATTTTTTGTATTATCATTAAGTTTCAATGTATTAAAATTATGCAAAGAAGATATTGTAAAGTTCATTGTCATTGGAGAATTCAATTTTGATATAGTTTCTTATAAATACCTTTTTTGCATTATGTTTTTACGTTTTTTATCCAATTTATATTTTTTAAATTTTCTTATTGATTTTTAATGGCATAGTTGTGCTTTTTATAAATTTCCTAAGTTTAAATAGCAAAAAGATAGTTAAGAAAGTACTAAAGTAACTTTCCCAGTAAAACTTACTTTTAGTTTTTTTAATTCAATTTATATGGCAAGTACACTTTTAAGCATTTTTTTATATTCAAACCATAAATTTTATTTAGTTTGAATTAAATACATTAAGAAAGCTTATGAATAGTTATATTTTCTATTAAAAAGGATTTTTAAAAGAACTTATTGTTTTTGTGCCATATATTCGATTCTTATAGGCGAATAGTCGTTAAGTTCATATTGTATATAAATAATCGCTTTTTAATAATTTTACATAGCTTCAATATATCTTTTATTTTAAAAATGAATGTTTCCCATATTATTAAAACATATTCCTAAAGCTCTTAAATTATTAAACTATTTGAAACAGCTTACTTAATAAAGCAATTGTAACAATGATTCACTATCTTTTATATTAAAAATATCTTTTGTTGTACACTAGAGTGTTTTAAATATATTTTTAAATGCGTTTAATAAAATTAATTACTCTTTTGATTAAAATAAATTACGGATTTCCTCATACTCAAATATATCTTAGTTTATTAATTCCATAGCTTATAATTCGGAATTTTCATGTATTTTTTTTAATATGTTAATCATTGTCTATATTGGATTTAATATAAGAATTGATGTTCTGTAAGATATATATACGCTATAAAATATGAAAAAAAAAAGAGATACTAAAGCACTTACATTGATAATAAAAAATTACTTCTTAATTTTCAATTACATTGCTATACTTGCTGCATCTAGTTCTTGTCGTTTTATAAGATCAACTATTATATATATAGTCTTTTTTATAATGATTGGAGAATTCGGAATAAATTATTTTTGGATTATTTATATTGGATTTAATTATACAAAGTATATATTATTATCTTAATCTTGAATTTCAAATTAAACTTTATTCAATGAATTAGAAAACAGATCTTATAATTATATTTTTTCTTATTTTATTGTTTATTTATTGTCATATAAAACCTACATTTAAGTTAAAAAATAATTTATTTCGCTTATTGGAATATTCAATTTTTTTAAATAATCTTACAAGCTTATTATTAAATTTGTTTTTTTTTCATTTTAATTATCCGAATTATATACTAGAAGCTGGCTTTCTATATCAAAAATTAATAAAATTGAATTTTCCTTTATAAAATTTTTAAAAAAGTTATTGTATTATTCATCCATAAACTCAAAGCATAAAACAGAAAAAAAATTATTCTCTTGTTAATAATTAATATTTGCACATATATTATTTAATATTTTTGCATTTTTATTATTTAAAAAGTCTTCTTCTTTCAAATATTAATTTTAAGGTTAAATTATATTTATAAATTAGTCTTATAACTAAGAATATTCAAATTAATAAGTACACCTTGGATCAAAAGCTTTTATATTTTTCTCATATCTACAATTTTTTATTTGAGAAGAAAACATAAAAGAAAAAATACTATTGTATTAAATTCCTGATTATTCTAATATAATGTTTATACTATTGAGTTTTAGTAAAGTTAAAGATTTTTACATTTAAAAATAATTTAATATTGATTATGAAATAAAATTAAGGTATGATATTTTTCGAATAATCTTTTACTTTTCTTAATCTAAATTTTCAAAATTTTAATTATTTTTTTCATACCAAAATTAAATTCTTAAATCATTTTAACCATTTAAAACATTTAAAAGTTTACCTTACTCTTTTATATTAAATAAACTTTTTTAAAATGCATAATTTTTATTTAAGTTAATTGCATTGGTATTTTATGAAATTAAAATTTAATTAAATTTAATTAATAATTGCATGTGTATAATGTATTATTAAAAACTCGTATTTATTTTGAATATTTATCCTACAGTTTACGATAAAAAAAATAGTTTTTTATCTTTATATAATAGGTTTCTAAAATTTTATATTGTATTTTTAGATTCTAAATATGAAATTTATATAAAAGTGAATAAGAGCAAAAATTAAACTAATGTTGCAAATAAGCTTATTAATATTATTTTGCATTGCAATTTCATTTATTTTAATTGTTATAGGAATATATAATTTAAAATAATTTTTATATTAATTATCAAATAATTATTTTAGTATTAAATAATTTTTAATTTTAGTTATAAAGTAAAAATAAAAAATAATATTTAACAATTTTAAATTTTTTAATTAATAATAAGGAATTTAATAATTCTTATATTTTTTAAATACAATATTAATAATAAATAATATTTACAAATATAATTTAAGTACTATTATTTTTTTTTTTAATGATTTATTTTATTTTAACAAATAAATTAATACATCAATTTAAAACAGTCTTTGTATTTTTAATTCTAAAAATATGGTAAATATTGGATAACGGTATTAAATCATTATAAAGAGGATATTTACAGTATTTTTTTTAAAAAAACTTATATTTTTATATTAATTCTAAAAATATAATTTAATTTTGTATCACTTGTAAAAAAAATTAATATTTATTTAGTTTTTTTACAAAATAAAAAAAGTTATTTTTCTATTAAATTAAATTAAAAATGAGAATAATGCTTTATACCGTTGAATTACTCTGAACTTGAAGTATGTTATTTTTAAACTCTAGTTCCATAATTATCTCCGTATAAAATCTCGTTTATATTAATTTTAAAAAATAAAAATTTACGTAATAATATTATATTTTAAAATTATAAAAGCCTAGAAATGAAATAAAATTAAGTAAATAAATTAAACTAAACTGCTTCAAAATGTTTATTAAGCATTTATATTATTAAAAAATAAAAAAATAATCACAATAATAATTTTTATAATTTAAAATATGAATTGCATTTTAAATTGTAAAAAACATATATATTTTTTAAAAATAATAATTTTTTTTATTTTTGTTTAAATAATTTTTTAATATTGTTTCTTATTTATTTAATTTTTTTTTTTTTCATTTTTCTTTTTTTTATAGATTATTTATATAATCAAGACGTTCTTTTAATGGGGGATGTGAGTAATGATACCAAGAATAGATAGGATGAGGAAGCAAATTACCGGAGTTCTCTTTAAACATTTTAATTAATCCATCACATAACTATTGAGCATATCCCATTTAAAATGCGTACTAATCTGCTTAAAATTCATATATTCTGCTTAAAGACATTTAAATTACAGATAAAATCTAGTTAATCTATTTTTATTTTAAGTTATAAAAATACTTGAAATATAAATAAATTATTTTACAGGTATAAATAATCCTACGAATAAGTTGGACCCTATAAATATCTTTTTTATAAAAAAATATAATATAAAATACTTATCTATATAAATTATTTACTGATTTTTGATTAAATCCAAAACTTTTGTAAAAATAATCTTCATATATAAAAAATTAAAATAAATAAAAAAATAAAAAAATTTTAATCATTAAAAATCCAATATGTTTGAATGTATGATTAAATTTCCAATGGCCTATTTCATGACATAACACTGCATATATTTCCGTTTTTTCTAATTGATTTATTAACGTATCAAATAATACTATTCTTTTGTTTTTTCCAAACCCAAAAAAATAGGCATTAGAGTGAGAACTTCTAGTTGAACCATCTACTTTAAATAATTTCTTTAGAGGGAAATCATTTTATTCTGCTAATTTATTAATTCCTAATTTTAACTCTCCTTCTTCCAGTTCCTCGTATTTATTATATAATGGAGCTATAAAATTAGGCCATATCCATTAGAATAAGAATATAAAAAATAAAATAAAAATGACAACCTTAAAAAAATTAAATTATTATAAATAATATAAAAATGTTTTATAATTAATTTATTATTTAAGAAATTTTAATAATTAAATAGTTTAAATTTAATGTTTATATATATATATATTTATTTTTCTTTACGTAAATATAAAAGTATTATCCTCCTACTTCAACTATTTTTAAATAAAGATAAAGTAATATTGGAGTTAAAATTAATCCGACTATATTATTTTTTATTTAGTCTTTTATAAACAATGATAATGTTTAATTATTAAATCCATATCTTTCTTCAAGAATAAAATTATAAAATATACTAAAAGGTATTTCTAAAATCTATCCAATTATAGAACTTACAATAGTATAAGCAAATGCCATTTAAAACTATTTCATTTTAAACAAAAATAATATTATTTTTTTACTTCACTTTATGTATCTACAAATTTTAGTTACTAAAGTATATTATACCATATATAAGGAGTCAAATTGCATAAATGAGATAAAATGCTTACCCATAAAAAAAAGATTCTTTAATTATTGTGAAAACACTAAGAGTATATATTTATAAATATTTATATTAGTTTTTTTTACATTTTATCAAAGGTGTAAGATTAAGAAACTATAAATTCATGTTTTGAAAATCCTAATTTAACTATTTCTTTTGTAATATTTTTTTCTAAATAAAAATTATTAATTAATTGTAATGTAATATATATTTACAATTGAATTAGTTAATTGCAGATAATTCAATATTTATTAAGTAAAGTAAATTAGAATCTCGATAACTAATAAAAAAAAAATATTTTAAATTTGGTATTTTAATTACAAACGACAATATATACTAAAGGTAACTCTTTAATCTCTTAAAAATTCTAAATATAATCTATTGCCATTTATAAATTACAAAAAATATAATTTATAAATATATATCTTTATATGAAAATAATATTAATTAAAAATAAATTTAAAATATATATTAAACAATTAACATGTAAAAATAAATAATTATAAAATATTATAATTAATTACATTTTATTACTTTTCATATTTAAATTCTTTTTATAATTTGCTAAATTTATGATTTTATAAATTTTCTTACGATAATCTTGCTAATATATAAAGGAATATAAATACTAATACTAAACTCTAGATAAATAAATAGTTTCTCTTTTATAAACAATAATTAATTCAAAGTTAAAATATATAATAATTAATAATGTCAAAACCCCTTAACTATAATTCCATCCAAACTTACATATGAATTTTCGGAAAATTTTCAATTTACTTATGTATGCTATCAAATCTTAATTCAATACAATTAATTTATTTTTAATTATCTGAAATGAAAAATGATGATTACAACTTTTTCTTATTTTAGTTAAGGTTTTAAATTTTTTAAATTTGATTAGTTAAGTTTAATTCAACTATTTTTTAAAAATACAATTTTTATTTATGAATCTCTCTAAGCGTTATATATTGGTTTTAGGTTAGGTATGCAATTTAATTAATTTTATAATTTAAGTTTGCATTTATAATATATATTTATTAAATGAAAAAAAAAAAAAAAAATATTTAATTAAGTCTTAGTTTTATTAAAAAATTTATCAATTTGATTAAATCCATAATACTTTTCTTTGAGATGTATATAAAAAGTTTTTAGAATAATTTACAAATAATACAATTCTTTATTATTTGATAAATTTTTATATTTTTGTATATATTTAAATTAGAATTTACATTTTTATAGTCAAAATTTTGCATTTTAATGATTTATTATGTGAAAAAAAAAAAAAAAATCATATGCGACAAAACATTTTATGTGTAAAGAGAGAGAGATTTCAATATTATATTGTACATTGACAACAATTTTTTTTTTTAATTCTGTGAAGTATGTTTAATTCTTTTATTGATTAACGCATATAAAATAAAAAATATTAATATATATAAAATAAACATCTAATTTTTTTTTAAAAAAAATAGTATAATAATTAATATTTTTATAAAGAAAAAAATCATTTAATAAATTATTAATAATAAAGAGTATTATTAATTTTATTAATATTTTTAAAAATATTGCAATTATTTTAATTTATTATTAAAAAATGTTTGAAAAATTAATAATTAGAATTTTAAAATAGACGGTTGGCCAATATATAGATAATTTAGACTCCAATAATTTAGAAATCGGAATATTTTCAGGCTTAGTAACAATTGAAAATGTAAAATTAAAGAAAAATTTGATGTAACTATTAGACCTTCCAATTGAAATTTAATTCTCCCATATAAACAAACTTGTTTTGAAAATTCCGTTAATTAATCTTACTAAATCACCAGTAGAGTTAGAATTAGAAGGATTTTATGTAATTTTAAAAGCTCAACAAAAAGATGAGTGGAAATTTAAAGATTATAATAATCTTAAAGGAAAATTGGAAATAATAGATTAATATGCGTAATAAATAATTGATAAAATGATTAAAATATAGGCAGAGAAAATAAATTAATTAGAAAATGAAAAAGATTAAGGATTTTTTGATAGACTTATAATTAAAATTATCGATAATATTTAAATAAAAATATAAAATATTCATGTAATGTTAGAAAAAGAGGAAACCAATATTAATAATAATGAAAATACAATTAGTTGCTTTGGTATTTGCTTATAATCAATAGAAGTTATTACAATAAACCAAAATGAGGAATAAATTTATATAGATAGGACAAATAAATAAAATAAAGACTTACCTATGATAAAAAAGTTTTAACTAAATAATTTAAGAATTTATATAAATTGTAAATAAAATCTTTATAAAAGAAAATAAAGCTTAGATGAGACTATAGATTTTTTATAATCTAGTATTATTTAAAAAAATAATACTTTTGATTATTTGTTTACTATTAATTTTAGCATAAAACTTACTGAAAATTAATAAAACTATTCTAATACTGAAAATAGCTATCCTTTGTTTTTAGTCGAAATTAATTTAGATAGACTTGACTTTTTACTTAATTAATAATAACTATAATAAATAATAGAATTTATAGAATATATGAATTGTTTCAATAAATAGCAATAAATAATTAAATAAAATAATGTATAAAAATTTTTAATAGAAGACAATAATGAAATTGAAATTTTATAAAAATATCAATTAACTTTTGAATAGATATATTTTTCCTATTTTTATACATTTGAAAAAAATATAGAAAGTCTTAGTGATGAATAATAGGAGAAATTATAGTTAGTACTTTAAAAATTATCTTTGAAATAATTATATGATTGCACTAAAAATTTAGTAGCGAATAAATTAAAAGAATAAATAATAAATAATATATAAAAAAAGAAATCTAAGGGATTTTTTTCTTTCCTTAAATAAAAATCAACAGAAGTAAATGAACAAGAGAAATAAAAGATAGAAGAGTTGATTGAATAAATTAAAGAGTCAGAAGATGAAGATATAAAAATGCAAAAAACTACAAATAAAAATAAGTATTAGTGTTTAAGAGTCAAACTTTAATTTGAAGGCACTTCTATTACTTTATCTAAAGACTATAATTAAGAATTAAAAAAAATCGTCTAAATTAATTTCTAAGATTTAGAAACTATAATTGATTTAAAAAGTAATGAAAAAAATATGAGTGCGACCCTTAAAGATATAAATATTGATATAAAATAGTTATTAAATTAAAAAGAAGTCGAAGGTATAAATTTTATGACTAAAGTTTAAGTGAGTGAAAATGATTAAAAATAAGTTAATACTATTAACTTTAATTTTGATTAATAAACTATTAATAAAATTAAAAAAAATACTATCATTTTGAATGTTGCACGTTTCAAAATATAATATTCTCATTTATTTCTATGTATACTTAAAGACTTTTTTGATTTAAAAGTCTCTGATTAAGAATTAAAAGATAAAGCCATAAAAAAAATAGAAGAGATTTAAGAAAAAACATAACAATAAGTCGAGAAAAGTATAAAAAATATAGAATAAAGTAAAGATATACTTAATTTAGATATTTATTTGGCTTCTCCTATTATAGTTTTACCTTACAAAAACCAATAATAAGATTGTTTGATTTTTTCTTTAGGAGATTTAAGTATTAAAAGTTTTCATTAAGAAGAAAATATATAAGTTGAAATATATTAATTGTAATTAAAAGATATCAGTTGTAAATACTTAAATTCATTAAATTAATTAGATTAGTTTTTATGTATAAAAAAATAAAGTAATAATGATGAATTATTTTATTATAGTCTAATTTAAGATTTTGAAATAAACATTAATTTTAAAATTAGAAAATATGAAGAAAACTAATAATTTAATTAAAACAATATCGAAAAAGCAAAAATCTTAATTGTTGGATAATTTTCAAGTATATGCTTGAATCTAAATTCTTTTATGTATAAAAAAGTTTTAGAAATTTAATAAACTTTTTAAAATGAATAATCAAATAATTTTAATTAAAAAAAAGTTACTATTGAAGTAATTTAACTTGAAAAAAAAACTTTACTTAAAAAAGCTATTAAGCTAGGTATTTTGTTTAAACGAGGAAAACATATCAAAAAAGTTATTTTTTAAAAAAAATTAAAAATAAAATAACAAAAATATAAATTAATAATAGTGGGAAAAATTTTACGGTGTTTTAACAAAAGATTATATATACTTTTTTGAAAAATAAAATGATTATAAGCCTTGTAGTTATATAGGAATAAAAAATTGCTAAATTTCTTAAATTTCAGAAGAAGAAAGTGGCTTTAAAAATGCTTTTGTAATTAATAGTAGGTATGATTAGTTTTATTTAGCATGTGAAAAAATAGAAAACACAAAAAAGTGGATAAAAACAATATAAAAAATATACGAATAATAAAATTAAGAAAATTAGTAAATAGAACAATTCTAATAAAATATTTAAAGTGAATAATAGACATAGGAGAAACAATAAATAAATTTAAATGAAGTATTATGTTATTTAGAATTTTCAATATATGATTTGAAATTTGTTTTAGAAAGCGAATCAAAGTGTAAAATACTATAACTAGAAATTCAGCAATTTGAAGTTGTATATATAAAAAAAAATTTATTTATTTAATGTGAACTCAATTTGGGTAATTTTTTTGTTAAAGACTATATATCAGAATATATGAATAAGAGTTTGAATTATTTTATAGCAAGTAAAAATGAAAAAAATGATAAGCTTATAAATATTAAAATTTTGGCTTTTGATAAATAAAATCCTTAATATGAAAATGTAGATTTAAATATACAATGTGATTTCGGATTCTTATTTATTAATTATAAGCCTGAAACAGTTAAAAAATTATTATAATTTTTAAAATAAACTTAAAACAATAATAATTAAGATAATTCTTTTTACAAGGAGACTATTAAATTTGATATTAATGAACATTAGAATGCAATTTCAAGCTTGGATTTAGTTAAAAATAATGAATAAATTTTAGTTAAACTAATTTTTAATGTAAAATAAGTTTAACTTAACTTAATTCATAACATAACTAAACTTAATTAAGTTTAATGTAGAATATAAAATACATCTATATAATATATTTAAAAAATGGATGAAATTCTAATCAATGGAAACCTAAAAAATTTATAAATTTATGATCTTACTAATTATCCCATTACACTTTATTAAGAAAAGGATTATATTTTGTAAAAAAAATAAGAAATGCTTGGACTTTTTAAAGAATAATAATCATAAAATTTATTAAAATTTAATATTATAATGTATGAAAAAGGTTCTAAAAAAATTGATAAAAATACTAATATTGATATGTTTATTAATTGTTATCTGAATTCTTTACATATAAATTATGTATAATAACCTGTTATGAGACTTGTAGATTATATAATGAATCAAATAATGGGTGTAATTAATTAAAACAATAATATTTAGAATAATCAAGTTGAAAATTAAAAAGAATTAAGTGAAGCTTAAAAAAATGAAATATAAAAAATAAAGCACTAAATTTTAAACCCTTCTAATTTAGATTTAAAAGTATTTATTGAATAACCAATAATTGATTTAAAGCCAAGTTAAAACGCTTAAAAATATATAAGAGCATACTTAGGAAATACAAATGTTACAAACGAAAGATAAATTTAGAATAAATATATATGTTAAAACTAAGAAAAAATAGATTTACCCAATAAAGTTTACGAAGATACTTATAAAATATATATTGAAAATATAAAAATAGTTGTAATAAAAAATGATAAACCATTAGATATATGTATGCCATTTAGTTTTAATATAAAAGTGTAATTTTTAGCTTTTTGTAAAGATTTAAGACTTTGTTATCCTAATATATTATTCGATAATATAATGAGAATATAAAGTTATATATCTCCTATAATTTTAAAGTTTAGTAATATTGATTATAATACTATTATGATGGGAGTATTTCATAATGTTTCATTTGATGATGGTGTAGATTAATTTTATATGCATGACTTTTGGAAAAATTTTAATGAACGAAAGAAAAATATAATATATAAATAACAATAATAATAATTTTATTAAGAATAATAATAATAATAATAATAATAATAATAATAATAATAATAATAATAATAATAATAATAATTAGATAATATAAGCAAAATTAATAATAATAGCAATGAAGAAATATTATTTATATCGAATATAATTAAAAAATAATAAATATAGGAATAACAACTTAAAATTGAAAATATAGTAGAATCTTAAATTACAAGTTCAAACAATGCTATTAAAAATAATTAATAAAACTTAGAATAAATTTAATAACAATAAAATCTTGAAGGAATATAATTTGCACTAGATATTGAAAACATTTCGATATTTGCAATTGATATTAAAGGTATTCCTTTTGCAAAAATAACATTTTATAATGCCCGACTATTTTGTGATAAGACAGACGAAAGAATATTAGTTAATATAGAATGTAGCACTATTGACGGAAGCTATTTTGAAGCAAAAAACAAAGAAGATTAAATTTACATTGAATTCCCATTAATTGGAGATTTAGGAAAGTTTGGTATTCATAATAGGCAAGAAATTACAGATTTAACTCATCTTATTAAATAAATTAAAAATAATAAAGAATATAGGATGAGCGAATATAAATAATTTAATATTATTTCTTAAATTAATGATTGTGATTTCTATTTTAAGATTAAAATTGATTAAAAAACTTCTGATAAATATAATAGCATTAATATCTAAAACATTACAATTGTAGCATAAATGGGTATTTTATTGAGAATTGGAAGATTTACTAAACTTGATGATGATATTTCTGAAACTTAACTATAACCAGTTTGCAAAATCCCTAATTTATTTGATTAAGAAGAAGAATCGAATAAAAAAGGGCAAGATTACTTCAATTTTCCTAAAAATTATTTAGAATTAACTATTAATGTAAAAAATGTATTAATATGCAGCTCTTGCATTACATCTACTAATATTTTAACTGTCAGAGGCGAATTTAATATCGGTATGAAATGGAATAAATAGTCATAAATACTTTAAAATGTATAAGAAAACACTCATATTATTTAAGAATAAAACTTTGAAATCTAAGGTTTAGAGATTTTTATTTGCGATTATGAAGAAATGTCATAAACGGATTTTAAAAGAGTAAAAAAAAGAGAAATTTTTGCTTCCAACTAATATAGTAGTTGAATAAAAACAAATTCTAGCAAAAAGTTTATGAATTAATAAAGTAGACACATAGAAAAAAATTCAGTGATTTAATAAAATCTAAATAATTCTGTAAATTAATAAAATCTAAATAATTCAATTATAAGCAGAAAAGATTCTAGCATTTAGTAAGATTTTATAGAAAAAAGTAATTTTAATGTTAAAATTTAGCAATCTTCTTTTCGGATTTCTTTTTAAGATTTAAAATTAATTAAATAAATTATCAACTTTGTAATTGCTTAAATAGAAATATATAAACAATCTGATGAAGAAATTGAATAATAATAAAAATAAGCAAAGATTCATACAGGTGCTTTAAATTTAGAATAAGTTAACTTAAGTATGACTTAGCCAAAAAATATAATAAAAAGTGGAATTAGTTTCCTTTAGAGTAATGAAGAGAATAATATTGATACTCGTATAAAAACACTTTCTCACGCAAGTCTTCCAGCCGTAAATAATTCTAGTAAAATTCAAAATAAATTACTCAGCAGTAGTAAGAAAGATCTACTTTTGCTAAAAATAAAAAAGAAGATCAATCTATAAATGAAACTAAAGTTTATATATAATTAGAAGGATTTTAAATTATAATTATTGATGATGCAGGTTAAAATGCTTATACTCCAGTATTAGATGCTATGATTTATGATATGTAAATGAATATTATATCCACTATTGTATTTTCTCAAATAAATACTAATCTACAAATGGCAATTAATTATTTTAATCCTAAAGTAAGCGATTGGGAACCTGTAATTGAAAGATTTGGAGTTGAAGTTAATATTGTCAACAATGAATTTGGCTAAACTAATCACTTAATAACTGCTGAACTACTTGATGATTATTTCGAATCTGTTTATTTTAATATATCATCCTAGTTTTTATTCATTTTATTAAAAACATTGAATTCTTTTAAAGAAGAAATTTATTAAGAAAAGTCAGAATTTAAAAAAAGTAATAATTAAGATTTCTATAAATATTTTGTTGAATAAAGTTAAAATCTCCAAGACTAAAAAAATGAATGGGAATTCAAAAGACATTAAAGTATATGCGGTAAAAAAAATTCTCTTTTAGAAAATGTATCTCATGTTTCTCCTTATATTATTAAAAATTAATGTGGAAACGCAATTAGAATTATAGGAAACGCTTTAGAAATTAGTAGAAACAATTTGATAATTTAAAACAATGAACAGCTCTCTTATTAAATTAAATTAGAGCATGATATTGTTAATTTTAATATTTCTGAATAAAAAAAGAAAAATAAATTTAAATTAGAAGAAAGTGGAAGAAGTTAATAATAGAACAGAATAAAAATTTAAATTCATAATGAAATTCATTCTCTTCCATAAATAAAAAGTATAAATTTAGATAAAGTTGAATGCTAAAATTATGTACTTAGTAGTTAGGAAGCAACTAAATCACTCATTTTTAATGTTAATACTGAAGTTAAATTAGATTTATATACAAATAGGAAAATATTAATTGTTTCTTCTCCCATTTTATTTCAAAATAATACATCGATATAATTAGGAGTTCAATTATCCTATAAAACTTATCAAAAAATAATTCTTATAAACGCAGGAGATACTTAACCAATTCCTTTAGATTATACTTATGGAAAATTTACTCTTTTTATAAACAAAGAAAATTAAAAAAATATATAATCTGATGTTTTAGACATTTACGAATATTCAAATTTATAAAATTAAGGTTTTCTAATTGCTATTGGGGATAAAAATAACATATTACTAAACATAAGAAACGATTAAAAAAACGAATTTAAAACTTTATTTGTTTTAGAACCTCCTTTCAGATTTAAAAATTGTTTACCAAAACCTTTAAGAATTTAAATTTTAAATTAATAAAAAATAACAGAAGTAGATAAAAAAATATATCCTGGAAATTTTTTGGAAGAATATATATTTTAATTTTAATAAAAAATATATATTAAAATTTAAATTGAAGGTTTTTTTTGGAGCGAAGAGAAACTTTTATATGATGGAGAAGTACTTTTTAGTATCAAAATTAATGATAAATAAAGTAACTCTTCCTATATTTCTGTTTATTAAAATACTTTTAATTGTCGTGATTACTATTTTTATTGTAAAAGTTTTCTTTTGAATGAAACTGAATATAATCTGTTATTTTATACAAAAATAGAAAACAGATGGGGATAATAACCTATTTAAGTTGGGGGATAAAATCCTGTATATTTATGTGAGAAATTAGACGAGAACTTAATTATTCTTGGGGAAGAAACTGGAAATATAATAATTATCAGAGATAAATAAAACCCTTAATTTTAGAATGATGAAGTGCCAATAAGTGGGGTTGGAATTACAGAAGTTTTACTAAAAACAAAAATGCAAATGTTAAATTAATAATTTTGTAATGTTAATATTCCTATTGGAATATAAGTATAAATTAAATAAATAGAACCTCATTTATAACTTTTTAGTAAAATAATTACTTTTTCTCCTAGAATAATATTGGTTAATAATTCTACTTTTCCTATTTATGCTAAACAATTTTAAACCCTTGGACATTAACATGGAATTATTTTACTACCTGAATAACGAAAACCAATCTTTTGGATTGAAAAATATTAACATTTATTATAAATAGGACTCAGACCTGTAGACTGTACAGAAAGTAACTAAATAAAAGAGGATGAAAATGAAGGAGAATAAGATTATGAACATAGAAAAAAAAGTATTGACGATTTTGTTGATAATGAAATTTTTTGGAGTGGATAAATTGATGTTAAAAATATAAGTGTGGCTAACATGTGTATTAGAAATAAATAAAATAAAATAGTTAAATTTATTAGAACTGATACAACTCTTAACAATTCTAATATATATATTGTTGTTTAAGAAGTTGAAGAGAATCAAGTGCCCTATTTAATAGTAAACAAATGTTATAATATAACTATTGAAATCCCTTCTATTCCTGCCACTATAGAACATAATGAAAAAGTTTTCTTTGCTTGGGATGAGCCAAGTATATAAAAATAATTAAATGTTATTATTAGAGTTAATAAAATATAAAAGAACATAACAATATTTCCTGACAAAATAATTAAAAGTTAGGCTATTGATATTGGAGTTTATATTGAAAGTGCAGGAATTAAATATTCTGTTTAAATTGATGGGTTTACTAAAGTTATTATGTTTGAAAACTGTTTTGAAAATTCTGAAATTTAGGAATAAAGTTAAAGTTTTGATAAAATTAATGAAAATCAAAATAATGATTAAAAAAACGAAAATTAGTACTAAAAACATATTTCTTTTCATCTTAAAAAAGTAGGGATTTCAATTATTAGCAATTCTTTAAATAACATAAAACCTAAAGAATTTGTTTATATATAAATTTAGGATGCTGAATTTATATTTTTAGAAAAAAAAGATAAAATTGTTACCTAATTTAAACTGAAATATATAAATGTAGATAATAACACCAAATACTTGCCTGAATTTCCTGTTATTCTTACTCCCTCGCGTTTCTAAAGCCATACAAGTAATTAAAATTCTAAATCTTTGATAAATATACTTGTCGAAAAAAATACTACAGCATATAATATTAACCTTTTTAATTCTATTAAATTAGATGTCGAACCTCTGACTTTAAGAATTGAAGAAGAGTTTATTGCTTAGATACTTATTTTTTTAGAAGAATTAATAGAAATAAAGAAGACATTCTAAAATAACATTTAGTTTAATATGAGTGAAATTCATAAAAGGAATTATGCAAGTTCTATAATAACAAATTCTCAATCAAATTCCCAATAATAATATATTTTGGAAAATAAAATATTATATCCTTGGTAAAACGAAATAATTCCATAATAATAATTGCCTACATATATAGATTAAATAGTTGTTTCCCCTATAAAAATAAATCTAACTTTTAAATCAAAGACAAGGGCATCTTCGGATGAATAATTTGCAATAATAAAAGTATTCACAAATGCACTTGGGGTTGCTTTATCTAACATAGATGACGCACCTTTAACTTTAAAAGGAATTCGATTATTCAATTGTTTTGATACTGCAGATGGAATCGCAACTAAAATTATATCTAATTACAAATAGTAAGCTATTAGAGAAGTCTTTAGCTTATTAGGAAGTTTAAGTATTATTGGAAATCCTATTGGATTCTTTAATAATGTTTCTGCTGGAGTATAAGATTTTATTGAAAAACCTCTAGAAGGCCTAATCCATGGACCATTAGAAGCAGGTATGGGTTTAGCTTAAGGAGCTGTTAGTCTAACTAAGAATATAATGGCAGGAGCATTTAATTCTATAAATAAAATAAGTGGCTCTTTTTCAACTGGATTAGTTCATTTGTGTTTTGATCATGAATTTATGTTACAAAGAGACAAATTAAGAGTTAGAAAACCTAAACACGTTCTAGAAGGACTTGAATATGGATTAAATTCAATTGTAAATGGTTTCGGAAAAGGTATTTCAGGGTAAAAAATAAATTAAATATTTTTACTTTTTTATAAAAAAGTGTAGTGACAAAGCCTATAAAAGGATGCAATCAAGGAGGAGTAAAAGAGTTTTTAGTTTCTACTTGGTAAGGAATATCTGGTGTAGTAGTAAAACCTATATCTGGAATATTAGATGCCATATCGAAAACTGCAGAAGGGATAAAAAATACAGCAACATATTTTGATGATAAACCTAATGAATAAAGGATGAGATAAAGGAGAATTTTTTACGGAAAAGAGTAAATTTATAAAGATTTCAATGAAATTGATAGTGAAATGTATGCTGAATTACAGAGTTTTAAAAAAAGTAAATATAAAAATTGCATATTCTATAGGTCTTTCATACTTTTGAATGAAGATAAGAAATAATAAGCACTTATTTTACTTAAAGAATGTCTCATACTTTTATATGTCGGTTCAAGAAGAAGAGTTTGGATTATTGATTTTCATGAACTAAATTCAGTTTAATTAATTAATGAAGGAATTAATATTTATACCATAAATGAAAATAAATATTTTAAAGTATCTTATAAATTTATAAATTATAACATTTTTTTATAAAAAAGGACAAAATTTATTTTTTGAAAATAAAAAATTAAGAATATAGAAAACAAATTATGCAAAAATTATAATAATATATAAAAAATATTTAAGAATGAAACGTGAGTTTAAATTTATAAATTAATTAATTAATTGATATATATTATATAAATAATCAAAAAATATACTTAATAACTTTGAAAAAATAAAAATTCGTTTATAACTAAGTAATATTTGAAATAATTCCATAATATTTTTGAAGAAATCATCAATTTCTAAATAATAAATACTCTTATAAATAATTAAATTATAATTTATATTTATTTATTAATTTAATTAATAAATTTAAAAATAAACATCAATATATTGTGTTTACCAAACTTTCTAACATTTATTAAATTTTAAATCTTTAAATTTATCAAAATTTTAAAATTCCGTATAAATTTTAACTGTTTAAAATTTTCGAAATTTTTTGCATTTTTTTTTATATTGTATTTAAAATAAAATGATAGTATTGCAAGGTAATATTTCAATAAATAATAAAATATTGGAGAATTTTATTTAAATTTAGTAATTTAAAAATAGAAATTAACTTATTTCAATCTGAATACTTAAGCTATGTTTAAATTTATTATTAATATTTCAATTATATATTTTAAAAAAGATAAATTATTATAATATAATTAATTTTCATTGAGATAAGATAATTAATCTTAATAATAAAAAATTTCTAATTTAACATATAAAATTATTTTTTAATAATTTAATATAAAAACATATATATCATTCAATAAAATCATCATTTATTTCTATTTCGAATTCTCTTAACTAGTCTAAAAAGCCAAAATTAGGCTCTACCTATTTTCTTTTTTATTAAACATATTAAAGAGCAACATCCATATTCCATTTTTTTTTTTTAATTAAATAGGCTATTATAATAGTTGCACTTCTTGATACACCAGCATGACAGTGAACTAATACACTCCCGTAATTCAAGTGTTAATCTATAAAATCAAAGCATTCATCAAAATGCTATTTCAAATCATATGATTCTTCGTCTTCAGCATTTATAATCAAATGATAAGGAATTATATCTTTATTATATTATAAATTACAACCACTTGCAATCGTTATTACTGCTTTAATATTATTTTTTTATAGATCTTATATCTTTTAAGCTCCAGCTAGGCTTCCTAACCATAAATCGCAATTATTGTTATATTTAAATATCAAATCCATTGATTATTATTTATAATAATTAATCCAATGCATAGATTAATCTAATACAGGTTATAACATTCTTTTAATTTAATTTATTCAGTACAACAATTTATAAAAATTATAAAAAATATAAATTATAAAAATATTATTTAATTTTTTGAAATTTAGGTTTATATTTATTATTATTATAATATAATTTTTAATAAAAAATATGATATTATTTTTCAAAAGGTTTTTTAATTCATATTAGTTCCAAAAACATTTGTGATGTTCATACTCATAACTTCATCTATATTCTATAAATTTATATATATAAAAAACATTTTTTATTTGAAATTTTACTTATTAAAGGTGTTTTTTAGGGTCTATTTTACCAACATTCCTTATAGCAAGTTATAATTTTGTTTTTTATTACTCATCTTCAATCCATTTTATATAATTACCTGCTTGTTAACTCATCTAAGATAGTTATTTTACGTTAAGGTTTTGATTTTCTTCATATTTATCTTATTTTAATGATTAATTCCAATTTTTTTTATATAAATTTAATAACATTTATGTTTCTAAATCATTTTTTCTATAACTAATATTAATTGAGTAATAATACTTATTTAATCCATGATAAATAGCCTTATTTAAAATATAAATTTATTTATGATTTTTTTATATAAAAAAGTACATTAAATGATTATGGTTATAAATGCCCTGTATTACTGGTTGTTTATCTTGGCTCAATTCCTTATAATTAAGTTTTCTAATCTATTAATCTGAAAGCATCCATTACAACTTTACCTCTTACAGACTAAATTGGATCTATAACAACAGCTACTGATCTTGGATGTAATTATTCAAAACTCTTGTTTATAAATATTTTTATTAATATAAAAATTTTTTTTACTGTTTAAGTATTCATATCTACACTAGATAACCAAGGGCCAAAACCAGGATGGGAATGATACCAACCAACCACCATTTCATTTCTTTCAGTTTATTTTAACATTTCTAACATTTCTGATTAAAAAACAGGATCTACAGCTTCAACTGATTCCTTTTTTAAATCTAAAAATATATTTTTTAATTTTTGTATTTACTCCTGTTGCTGATTATGGCATTGCAAATACATCAACTACTTTTACTGTATAATCATCTATAAATTCTCCAAGCATCAAACCCATAACTTCTAATGGTACTCCTGCTCTTGCTATTTTTTTAAAATTATTTTTTATATGTATATATATATAATATTTACTATGCTTTAACATTTTCAGTAATGCTAATGAAGATATTTATATAGTCTCTGCTGTATCATCTAGAGACATACCAGGATTCATATTCATTCCACCTAGACCAGATAAACCAAATTAAAGTTATTAAAATAGTTAATTATTCATAATTTTTTTTAATATAATATTTTTTTTTTAATTTATTTGTTATTTTTTTTTAAGATTAGATAGTATTTTAATTGTTTTATTAGAATTAGATTTAAAAATAATTATAAATTTCTAAATAGCTTACTATTATTTTTCATAATTAGTTTATTAGAGAAGGCAGAAATACCGAATCGAATTCCGATTATTTAATATCGAGTATCAATTATCAAGACTATACATCATTTTATAAATTTCAAGCGAGTCATTTCTGTATTATTTCATTAATCTAAAAATATAAATATCTTGTAACCTGTTACTAATTTAGGGAAATACATATGCTATTACTATATTAGCTGTCTCAATACTTGTCATATATATTTTACAGATATTTAAACTATATAATATATATACTATACTGTAAACTCTTATTAATTAACATTGACTCAACAAAAAAACATATATATTGATTAAATCCAAATAAATATTAATAACAATTAATTAATTATATACATTTTATTTTTTCAAATTTTAAAGAATAAATAAATATTCGTTTAATGAAAATTAATTTTTATATTAATATAAAATTATATCTTTGAAAGTTTTTTTATCATTTAAAACATGCTTGTTTTGACAAGAAATAAGAATTTACATTATTTTAATAAATTGTATCATTAGATCAATTTCGTTGTTAAGAAATAATATTAAACAATTTATAGATATTTTTGTTTGGTTTAAATTAGATTAGATTTTTTCATTTTTAAAATTTTTTACAAGATTTAGATACATAATATAATGCCAACTATTTTTAGAAACTGAATTTAGAAACAATGTTCCAAGATTCAAGATTTAGAGTTTTATACAGAAATTATTCGATAATTGATATTACCACTAGATTTAAAATAAACCATAAAAAACAAAACAAAATAAAATAAAATTTGTTAATGAAAAAAAATAAAACTCGGCAATCAAATTTGATATTTTTTATATAAATATATAAATAAGTAAATAATTATGTTAATAATATAATATATAAACAAAATTCATGCTTCAATTTTTTATTGCAAAAAATAATATAATATTTTTTTTATGAAAAAATATAATGTTAATGATGTATATTTTAATAAAAATAATAAAAATAATATTCTTCATACTTAACTTATTTAAGCATTATTTCCTAATTGTTAAGCAGCTCTGACATCTGAAATAATTTTCTATATATATAATTTTTTTTCATCTTCATTCATATTTGTATCCATATTCTATTTATTACTTTAGACAACATTATTTGTTGTTGTTTAAGAAATTCCTTAATTCGCAAAAGAAACAAACTATGAATTGTTAGTATTTAAGGCTTGGTTATTATAAGAATTTATAACTACATTATTTTAGCTTTCACTAATAGGAACATAATCTTAAATATTAGTTGATTTCTTGCTCTTTTTAACAGCTTCATTATCTTCACTAACATATTAACTAATTCTGTTTTCTTAAACGATGTTTGGTGTTATATTTATAGTTCTATAAAGTTATTAATCAACATAATTAGGTGTAAAATTAGTATTTATGGCAGTATTTGTTATCATTGAATTATTTATATTAGATACTGGTTAAGACTAATTAGATGTATATTAATTTGTTGTAAAAATTGTTTAATTTTAAGAACCAAATTTATTAATAACTTAGTCACTTTCAGCTAAGACTTTTTAAATTCTGGCCATTAAATCATCGTTTGTAAAATCTCTGGTAATATAATTCACTTTGGGTTATTCTACCTATATATAATCAATTACTTTATGATTTTACAAGTTATTATATGGTATATCTTCTACTATTAAATTATTAGCTTCGATTACTTTGTTATTATCATAAGGATTTGGTTATTCGTTTTGAAATACTTCTACTATACTAAGACTTTAAGCTTTATTAGACTAGGCGTTTGTTATATCTAAAATTTCTTCCAAAGAAGCTCTTTATTCTTAGCTATGCAAAAGCATATTTTCGATAGTAGTAGAAAGATTTTAAGAGAATTAGAACTTTACTCTTTATAGGAGATTTTAAACATTTTCCCTATTTAACGTTAATTAAGAAATATCATAACATTCTTTGTTGGTATCTTATAAAGTTGCAGCATTTAAAGCAGTCATTCCTATAGAAAAAACTTCGTTTTTACTTCTATCAAAATCAGGAAATTCTTAATGAGCTCTTAAACCATTTAAACATTAAGGAGAAACAAAAAAATCATCAGTTGTTCCCATTAATAGTTGTGAATATAATGAATAAGTTTAAGGATGAGAATATTATTCTCCTAATTTTATTTAGCCAATTTAATCAATAAATACATTGTAAGGTCTTATATCACCATGAGTAACTTCTTTATATTTCAAATAAGAAGCAACAGATACCAAAGAATCTATTATATACCATATTTCAGATTCGTTATAGGGAATATTATATTTTCTTCTTTCAAAAATTTCTTAACGTAAATCATTAGAATAGTATTCATATAGTTATCCCACTTTGTAAAATGAAGAACAAAAGTCGTCTTGTTTTTCTGAACTATAATTAACTAGTTTAACTAAATTAGGATGGTCTAATTAAATACGGAATTTGATTTCATTTACTCGTGCTTACCAAATTTATAGGTCGTTAAATGTTTTAGTAATTGCCGCATAATATTTAGTTTGATTAGATCTTTTTTATATTATACTTACATTACTTCCATATCGTATGTCATTAACAGTTTTCTAACTTAAAACATCACTTTTTTCGTAAAGTGGTTCTTTTTTTAAAAAGGAGTTTACATTATTATTACCCATTTTTTTTTATTATTATTATTATTTATTTTTAAAAACAGTTATTGATTTATTTATTTTTATAAACAAAAATTTTATATATGTATATTGAATATTAAAAAAAAATATAGATTTTATTTTATTTTATTTTAATTTTTATTTAAAATAAAATAATATGTAATTAAAATTATTAATTTCTAATTGACGAATAAATTTGATACTTATTTTTAAATTTTAAATAATAGATTATAATTTATTTATTATTTATATATTTTATAATTGAAAATAAAAAAATCATTATCATGTATTTTAAAAATTTTAAATATTTAAAAATTAAAAATATCAATAAAATTATAACGAAAAGAAAAATTAACAAAACAAATAAAATTATTATATTTTAATTATTGAATAATAATTATTTTATCAATAAATATTACTCATTTAACAAAATAATTAATTATTTTAAAATCCATTAAAATTCTCATTCTATTATTCAAAAGGATTAGGTAGCATTTGTTACATTTAACAGTTTAGTTAATTTAGTTCATCTTATATTTCTTTTGGTAATTATCTATTGTTTCTTACTTATTCATTTTTAAAAATAAATTATTATTATTTTAAATCTACTAATTTTCCCATTATATATTAAAATGAGTAATTCTAGGTTGAGTACTAAGTATATTTCTTTCGAGCTTATCAATTTAAACTTCTTAAGGATCATTTACTATCAAAATATCATCTGTATAATAATTATAAACATAATATCCTGCTCTAAAAATTCTAGCTTTTAGAAACTTACTGATAAAATAATAGCTGTGACACCTAATAAATCTTCTTTGGAAGGAATTTTCATATGATTTGGTGGATTACATTCTAAAGTGAAGCTCATAACCCCTTATTCAATGTTTAAATTGTAAATTTATCAAGAACCTAATCATAACTTTCATCATTGGCACATCCTATATATAGTAGTTACCATTCTATTTCTTAATTATGTTAGAATGTCTTAAGACTTTCAAAGGTTATATCGATTTGAACGGAGTTAAGAAAGAGCAAGGGTTATTTCAAATTATATATTTTAAATATTTATTAATGACATAAATCAATTTTTATTTTTAATATATTTTTTTGCTTAAAAATTATTTTTTATATAAAAACTAAAATTTAAAAATCAAATTTTACCTTTTTTTATTTTATAATAACAAAAGACGTTTCTAATAAATAGAACACTTTTTTTAAAAAATTTATTTAGAAAACAAATATTTTTATTATATAAGCTATTTTTTTAATCTTTAAAAAAATAAAAATATATATTAATAAATATTATAAATAATAAATTTATTTATTTTTTTGTTTAAAAATTTTTACTTATATTAAAATATTATTAATTAATGCTAATATTTTCAATTAAAAATATAATTTAAATTTATTATTTTAAACAAAAATCATAATTTTTATTATAGTCATAAATTTACAATTTATATTTATAAAAAGTTTAATTTAAATTAAGTTATAATCGAATATTAAATAATAAAAAAGAATATATAGGTTAATATTTCAAAAATAAATTAATTTATGTTAATTTAAAATATTTTTAGAATACTTTATTTAATTGAAATATTAAACAATTTTTTAAATTGCTTAGTTATTATATTTAAGTTATGTAAACTAATATTTTTAATATACACGAAATATATATCTACTTTATTTAATATATTGTTTTAATTTTTAAAAATGATTTTCATGTTTTTTTATATTAAATTATTATATTTAATTGATTAGTAAATATTATTATAATTGAATCAATAATTATCATCACTTTCTTCATATTTTATATCCGAATCATCATCTTTAACAATTTTTTTATTCTTTTTTATCCTTTTTCTTTTGCTTTACCTTGTTTATTATTATTATTCAGATTATTTTATTTATTTTCTCCCTCTTTTTCTTTTCTTTTCAGGAAAAAAATCTTCTTCTATATTACTTTTTATTTTTAAATAGAAATTAAAAAATATAATTGTTTATATTATATAATTCTAATACTGATTTTTTTATAAATTTTCTTTTTATTTAGGTTTTTTAATTTGATTGATTGTTTCGAGGTTTTCGACATCTTCCAATGAATTTAATAAAAAATTATAACTTGATTATTCTATTGCTTTTTTTCTTATTTGTTTATTTAATATATATATATATTAATTTATAAACAATGCAGGAGGTTATGCTTTTTATAAGCCATTATCTTGGCAAACTTTAACTGTTTTTTGTATTATATCTTCTAAAAATAATTCAAGAGACTTAGCTTTGTATATTTTATATAGTTTTTTCATAAAATATTTTTAATAAGTGATTACAAAGCATGTATGGTATTGTTTTGCAAATTTTACCTATTTCTTAATTTTCTTGAACAATTTTTTTAATTCTTGCCTATTTATTATTTAAATTAATTTTAATTTAATTATACTATTGGAAATTTTGGTTAGCTTCGCTTTTTTTTCATTTTATGTAATACAAAATATTTATATAGTTTTTTTTAATATAGTTTTAGATATATTATTAAAATTTAAATAAATAAAAATTTATAAATAAATCATGTTTAAATAAATAATTTTAAAATAATATTAATATTTCAAGATTTATAAAATTATTATTTAGATTTTAAAAATAAATAATAGAAGGTATCAATATTTTATATTATTAAAATTATATCATATTTAATTTAAAATATTAATCCAATTTTTTATAATTTATTAATATATATAATTCTCAAAACTAATCCAAAAAAAGGTTTTTATTTTCATGCTTAGTTATTACTAGGTTATTTAAGAAAAATAAAATATATTATTAATGAAAGTTAATAATAAAATATTGAAAATATATTTTTTTTAAATTATTATAATTATGAAAATATATTTTATTTTATTATATTATTTACTTTATTTATTCTTATTAATTTTAATGTTAAGAATAAATATTTATATAAAGTAAATTTTAAAAATAAATAATTTTATATCAATTTAAAATTTTCAAAAATATTAAAATTAATAATATTTAATTTTAATTTATAATTTTTTTAAAATATAATAACTATTTAAGAATTTTAATTATTATGTAAGTTTATATTTAATATAAATATCTTTTTTTTCAAATTGGTGATACACATTTTAAAAATTCGATTCTGTCATATTATTTATTTGTAACAGCTTATTCAAATACAATTCTAAAATTAATTTTTACTTTGCTTGACAATCCATAAATTAACTTAATATACAATTATTTAATTTCATTATCCTTTTCATCTAAACCATAAGTAATTAATTTTTGATAAAGTTTATCAAATTAAGGATAAAAATGTTCTTCACCTTTATAAAAACTATCTTTAACTGTAGGAATATTAGAAAAAAGTTGTTCCAAACAATTGAAAATTATATTAACTAATTTCTTTTTGTACAAAATATTAGAAAAAATTTATATATAATTATATATATATATATAAATAAATACCATATCTATATTATCTCCCATTTTTTCCAATCTTTGAACAACAAAGTCAACAAGTGCAGGATGAACATATATTTTTTGGTCTTTTTCATCTTAAATGTATAAACTTTTTAAATTATTTTTTATCTATTAATTGAAGCTTTCTATCATAAAGAATAATAATTTAGTTAATTCTAAATCTTTTTATCTATATAATTTTTTATACAAAACAGGTATTGAACTAAAAAGATAGCTTAAAGATTTAAATTATATATTTTCTTAATTATTTTAAAGTATTTTCGAAACATTTTTATTAAATAATTCTTCAATCAAATATTTATATAAAACAAGAAAATTCTCAATACATTTATTTGAAATTTTTATTTGTGTATTTTACATAAATTATACTGTTTCGCTTGCTGCTTCACATATAGTTTTATAAAGTACAGTCATATCTTCATTTTTATTCTCTAAATTTTGCTTAACTTTTTATCCGAATAAGCAAATCAGTTTTCCTACAAAATCCGGCAAATCAGGAATTGTACTGTTTTTCACATATTAATTCACTATCTCGAACATTTTAATGGTGTAATCATAATTCTTGCTATATAAAACATGATAAATTAATTAACTTATTAGTACTTTCCAGTTAATACTATTAAAACTATACATTTAGCTTACTTCTTTTAATTATTCTATTAAATTTTAATGTAATTAGTATTTACTGTCTGAATAATCAAGGACATCGTTAATTAATTTAAATATTTCACTTTCTTCAGCTTATATTTATATTTGTTCAATTAATTTTTGGTTTATTTAAGTGGTTATTATAAATGATTTATCAACTAATTAAATATAAGTAACAATACTTAAAACAATAATTATCTTTTCATATCTTTCATTTAAAATTTGCTTTATTTCTTCTTTGTTACCTTATTTTATAATTCCTTTTATTAAACCTTCCATTAACTATTTATATGCATATATAAGTAATAAAAAAAAAAAAAATACATTAGCAACTGAAGTGAAATTTTCACTACAAATTTAGTTAATAATAATATCTTCAGTTATAATATCTAAGACTTCTTCAATTAACTTTCTTTTTTTACCCAATCCATAATTTTGGGGAATTGCTTCTAAAGATCCTTTTACGGTTTAAGCTAAACATTAAAATGAACATTTTGTATAATCTTGATTTTAAAAAAACTCTCCTTTTAATCCAGACTTAATAATAGGTAAGTAAGTATTGAAATCACAATATCTACCAATAAAAAAGAAAGTATCTTAAACTAACTATGATATTATTTATTCTTCAGGTTTAGAAAGAACTGTTTGCCAAATAATGATTCTTAATAGTTCATCCAAAAATTATGTAATATAGTTTTCACAATATATAATTGATATTCTTAGCAATTAAGCTGCTCTTATCCTTGATGATAAATTACTATCCTTAATTTCTCTATATAAAGCTTTCTAAAATTTTCTAAATTAACTTCTTACTAGCATTCTTGCTCCTAAGCAAGGCCTTTTTATAAAAGGTTCTGGAAGAGGTAAATTTTTTATTTTTCCATCATAAGTCCATTCTGAGTCAATACCAAATTATTTATTATCTCTTAAATCTTTTTCCTTTTTTTTTATGTTTTAAAAAAACACTATAATTTTTACATTTTATCTTTCTTCTTCTGCACCTGCTTCTTCTAAAACTTCGAAGCATGTAGCTCTAATTTCTTCATATTCATCAAATAACCCTGAAGTTAAATAAGGTATTAATCTAGGCATATGATCATATCTATCAGCTAAGCGCGAAACCCAATCTCCAACACATCTTAAAAACATATCTCTGACTTAAACTTTAGGGTCTGTAATAAAAGTAGCCAAATAATTTATATTATGAGCTGATTCATAAAAGTCTTTTATGGCTACTGTATTAGGATCACGAAAGCCTACTAATATTTCAAATACATTTGCATTATATTTCCAAATACCACACTATAATACTGACTTTATTTTTTTTTATTTTTTTGAAATAGATAAGTGGTTTAAATTTAATTATTATATATACCCCTAAAGCTTCCAAAGCAGCAATTCTAACTTTAGATTTTTTACTTATTAATGGTAATAATAACCCTCTAGCTAATATTTCTGTAAAATGTAAAAGAATTTCTTTATTATTTATACAAAAATCAGATATACATTAACATGCACTCTTTTAAACATCGCTGCAAGGGTCCATTGCTAAAGCTCTTAATATATTACATATATCATCTAAATGATTTAAAAGAGTTAATTAGTTATTACAATTTACTATTATTTGCATTAATTAACATATTTATATTCTTAACTATATTTTTTATTTTAATTATAAACTATATTTTTTATTTTTTATATTTACTTCTTCGGATTCTTCTACTAATTTTATTAATATCTTTGGCTTTTAACCTGGTGGTGGTCTCATTACTTCTGGTAAATTTTAAATTCCTTCTAAATCTTAGCAATTAGTTCTTTCTGTAATTATTGATAATATGTAAGGTAAAAATGGCTTCATATCATCACATTTAGAAATTAATCTATTTATTAATTTATTTATGAAAATTTATATTTAAAAGCAAAAAAATTACTCAGATAATATTTTAATTGCATATTCTCTTACTTTTTCGGATTTTTCAGAAAAACATTTTAAAAGTTATTTATGAAATTTTATCATAATTTAATAAGAAACAACTAATTTTTAAATTAAAATAATTGAAAAAGCATAAAATAAATATATTTGATTGTATTATTTTACTTCCATTTATTCTAAATTATTTAATTTTTTCATAAATACTGACAATAGCATTTTTTTTCATTACAACACTTTAATCATTCAGCATATTGAAATTTCTTTTTAAAAAACTTAACACCTCCTTTATTTTTATTATGAATTTAAATTTTTTTGATAATCATTAATATTATTACTCCAGAAGTTCCTGGTTCATAAATATCTAATTCGTCATCACTATTCATATTTTAATCTTTAATCATTTTTTATTATTATGATTTTTTAAAAAAATTTAAATATATATTATTAATTTATTTTTAAATTTAATAATTTTTTTTAAAAAAAAGATATAAATAATAATACTCATATATTAGAGTAAAAAAATTAAAAATAAATTTTTAAAAATTAAGATAATATTTATTCTTGATAACCTTTGAAATAAATGTATAATGATGAAAAAAAAATTGAAAATTTACAAAAATTAATTTAAATTTTATTTTATTCAAAAATAAATTAAAATTTTATTCTTGAAAAATAAAAGATTAATAGAAATTTTTAATACAAAAGGATAATAATATTTTATGTTATATATCAATATTGATTTATATATTTTTTTTCGTTTTATAAATTTAGAAATTGTTTGAATAGTAAGCCTTATTAATAATTACTATTAAATTATTTTTCTTCATTTGGATTATTTTATTATATCCTCTAAGGTTTTACATTTTATTACTTTTAAATTAATTATTAAGGATTTTTTTTGTTCTGAATAATTTAAATATTTTATTTAATATTTTCTTAGCTTGAACTTTTTGTATTTATTCTATTTATGATATATAATTAAAATATATATATATAAATAATTAAAATAAAAATACTATTAATATTAATTTTCTCTACATTAGTTAGGTTAAGCTGGTAATTTACGATTATTATTTTAATTAATAATTTAAGCTAATTATTTTTTATTTAAAGCTTCTTCAAAAGATTAGCCAATATAATTATTACTATAAAAATTATTGACATCTTACAAATTATTCAAAGGCTTTATAACATTAGGATTTACATTTTGAAGATTTTACAAATTTGTTTATTATTATTATTTTAATTATTATTATTATTATTATTATTATTATTATTACTATTATTACTATTATTACTATTATTACTATTATTACTATTATTACTATTATTACTATTATTACTATTATTACTACTATTACTATTATTACTATTATTACTATTAAATATTTTGATTATTATATATATTTTAATTAGCCTTTAAGTTATTATTTTATTTTATATTTTTATTATTTTACACTTATTAATTAGGCGATATTTCTTAATCTTATTAATTTTTTTGTTTATTATTTTTATTTTTTTAATTTTAATTAGAATATTATTTTTTTATATGGTTTAATATATCATCTTGCGATGCATTTTTTATGTTTGCTTAGTATACATCTTTATTATTATTTATATTTTAATCAATTTTTATTTGTTTATTTAATATTTTTTATTATTTTTCAACATTATTTTTATCATTATTACAATTTTTTTATATTTTTAAATTTTTCAATGCGTTAACACATCCATTTATTTTTTTTAAATATTTTTCTTTAATTGCTGCAATTTCTAACTCCATATCTCTTTTTAATATTTCAACCTTCATTTCAAGTGTCTCTTCATCAAGTCCTTACAACTCTTTTGGAATATCATTACTTTATTATTTATTTTGAGAACTACTAGATCCATTAGCAGAAAATAAATTAAAGTCTTTTTATTTATTAATAATAAATTATTATTAATTTCCTTTTTCTTCCATTTATTTAGCTAAATTTAAAAAATCAATTTCATTTGAACTTTTCTTTTCCTAACTACAGTCTATAATATCTTCATCATCTTATTTTTAAACCATAGTTCCTGTTTCATTAGACCAAATATGATTTTAATCTTCAATACTATTATATTCTATTATTGTTCCACTCTCATTAACTACACAATTTTAATTTGCTTATTATTCTTTTTATTATTTAGCATTTTTTTTAGCTTCTCCTTAAGATATTAAAATAAATTATTTTTTTCTATATTCTTCCATTATTTCCTTTGTTTCCTAAACTAAATTTTTAAGTATTGTTGCATTATTTTCAGCATATTTCTTTAAAAAAATATCATTTAATAATTCTTCTGCACACGGTCTTTATTCAGGATCTATAGTTAAACATTTTTTTACAAAAGCATTAAAATCTGCACTCCATTTTTGTGGCTAAGTTAATTTTTAAGCAGGTTTTTTACTTATTATAAGCATTGCTCTATAAGGATGAATATTACTGTACGGAGGTTCACCTTCTGCCATTTCTATGGCTGTTATTCCTAAACTCCATATATCTGTTTTGTTATTATATTTTGATTTGCTCAATATCTTTAATTTAAATATTTATTATTATTTTTTAAAATATATTTTTAATAATTTACTTCTGGAGACATCCAAAAAGGGGTTCCAATAACTGTTTCTATATAGCCTAAAGTATGCATAAGTTCAGTAGAAACACCGAAATCCGCAAGTTTAATATTACCATTTTAATTTAATAAAATATTACCTGCTTTTACGTCTCTATGTATTTTTTTACTGTTGTGAAGATAAGATAATCCTTTTAAAGTATTCGTTAAAATACATGCTATTTATGGTTCTGTTAAACTTTTTTATGTTGATTTTATAATATCATTTATACTACCGATTTCACAATATTCCATAATCAACCAAAGTTAATCATTATAAAAATAACTATCAAAATATCTCACTATAAATTAACTTTGGCAATCTTTCAAAATTGTTATCTCTTTTTTTAGATTTTCGAAATCTCCATTTAATGTATTTACAATTTTTACTGCATATAGGTTTTTATTAACTTTATGGCACGCTTTAAACACTTTCCCATATGATCCTTCACCTTTTTTTTTTTTTTTTTTTTTTATTTTTATTTATTACCTAATAATTCAAGTAATACAAATATCTCTTCAGGGTTTAAACACGTTGTTATAATGTTAGGGTTAGACATATTTTGTTATAATATTCTTTTAACTTTTTTTCTTATTATTAATTATTTATTTATTATTATTTTTTTTTCCTTTGTTGTTTTTTTTTTTTAAATATGAAAATTTAAATTTTTTTTTTTCTGCTTTTTTTCTAATTAAAAATTAAATTATAAATTTTTTATACCGTAATTATAAAATTTAAAAATAAAAAAACACATTATTATATATTCAATGTAATTAATTAAAAAGAAACCTTATCTAAAAAAGTCATACAGTTTAAAATGAATATTTATTTTTTATTTTATAAAATGCATAATTAAATATATTAATAATATTAAAATTTTTTAAATCACTAAACTGAATAATAATAATAATAATAATTCGTTATTTTTTTATTTTTGAAAAAAAAAAATGGATTTTTAAAAAAATGTAAAAATATAAATTTTGCCTTAAATAATAATTGTCAATCTATATATTAGTTTTCCAAGAATTTAGTGTGCTTTCAACTATATTATATAATGAAAATTAAATTATATAAAGAAATATCAAATAATAAATTAAATATTTTAATTTCAATTAAGCAATATCATATTAATTATATTTTATTAATTTAAATAAACATTAAAATATTAAAATAGTTAAAATATAAAAATAATTATTATATTTAAATATATAAATATTAAATTATTAATATTTATTTAAACCTATGTTTAATAAATATTTTTATAGTTTAAATTATATATATATATTTTTAAAAAACAACAATTATTATTTAATTAATTTAAATTCATTTAATCAGCTTTTTAAAATTATTTTAATTAATGTGTTAGTATTTATTTAATATTATTTAACTTTATAATTTGATTATTATAATTATTTTTATTTTTGGTAATACAATATTTATTTTAATCTAATCAATTTAAAGTTAATTTAAATTATTTTTATTTTCTTAATTTTTTTTTATTTTAATTAACTTTAAATATTTCTAAATCATTTTTATTTTGCCGATATTAATTTTTTATCTATTTTATACTTGTTTTTATTCCTCATTGCATAATATAATCTTTTTCACACTCTTCTATTGCCTTTGCTTTACTTTGATTTTCTTATTTATATTAGATTGGCTTTTTATAATGTTTTGCTAATATTTTCAAAAAAAAATATATTTATTCTTTTTAAAACAAATTTAATAAATTAGATTTCTTTTTTTAAAAGTAAATTTAATTTAAATATTTAGCTGATTATATTAATAATATAAATTCACATTATTTCATAATATATATTTATAAATATAATTATTATATTATAAAAAGTTTTTCAATTTATTTAATTGCTTATTTTTGTTATTTATAAATAAAAAAAATAATTAACACTAAATAAATATTTTTAAAAAAAATAAAAATAAAATATATATGAATATATATAATTCCTTTTTTAATTCATGTATAAATTAAATAAATTATAAAATTAAAAACTTGAATTTTCTAATATTAAAAATATTATTTTTAAAAAAATTAAAAATAAAAAAAAGGTAAAATTATATCATTAAAAAAATGAAAGTAAATAAATAAAAACTATAAATAAAGGATTCAACATAAAAAGATGTTCTTCTTTGCTAAATTGGAAATAACTTTATATTTTCAAAAGGAATAGAATTTATAAATCCAAAATAAGAATAAAATCCATTTGCTAAAGGATTCGATAAAAAATTATTTGCAAAAATATTTTTTTTTGGATTATTTTTACTTATATTGAATCTTAACTATTTTAAATATACAAAAAATGAAAACTTATTTGAAATAATGTAATTAAAAAGAAGTTCTTCGATTTCTGAAATAAAAGAAAGATTTAATTTAATTAAATTATCAATAAAGTAATAATCTAAAACGTTACAAAGGGCAGAATTATTAGTCAAAGAAGAATATTTTGAACAAATTTACAATATATTAATACATCCTGCGAGAAGAAAAATTTATGATAAATATAATATAATAAATCCTTAATATTCATATTATTTATCATCTTCTTATCAAATAAATTTGATTTTCTAATCAGGTTTTCTTTATTTATTTTTACTTTTATCAAGTTTCGCTAATTCGAACAGAAGAAATAAAGAGTACCTGAAATATCACGTCTTATTAATTGTATTATTTTTTATTATTGAAAATAGAATCAATTCATCAAATAATATAGATGTATATTTTTTAAAAACTAAATTTTATAAAAAAGATATAAAAAGGTCGATTTTATAGATTAAGTATCTCCTACATTAACAATACATTAAAGATTAGAATTAGTAAAATTATTATTGATACCATTATAAATAGTTTTAGGTTATTTATCATAAAAATATTTGAAAAGCGAATTAAATGAAATAGAAGAAAAAATCGTTTTTATAAAAACATAATAACTATTATTATATTTTAGAAAGATTCAAGAATACTTAAAGAATATTTAAGAATTAAAAAAGGAATATTCAGATGAATAAAAAGTTTTACTAATAAGATTCGAATAAGAAGTATAACAATAAGAAGAAAAACTTATGCAAATTTATTAAATAATGTTTGAAGAAGATAATAAAAATAAATGTACATTTTTTTCTTTGGTTAATATAGTATAATTAGTATTAATATTAACAGTGTTATATTAATAATTATGAAAATAAAAAAAAATACATTAATAAAACATAGAATTTTTCAATAAAAATATTTTTCATCTTCATATTCTTCTTCTTCTTCCGAAAGTCTATCAAAATTTTACGGATTCCACAACCCAATATATTCTTATTAAGCTTAATATTAAATATCCAAAAATATTTCATCCTGTAATGGATTATTTGGCAATGTTTAATCAATTCTAGCGAATCCAGCATGCACAAAATGTAAATTAAGGCTGTTTTCCAATTCGAATTATCCATTATTCTCATAAAGTATAACATTATTGACTTTGTTGTTTTTTCCCTAAAAAACAAATTCCGCTTCCCAATTTTTCTCATCGATTTTCTTTTCAAAATATTATTTGGTTTCTTTGCTCATTTTATGCTTACCAAAAGGTACTTTAATGTAAGCTAATCTACAAATTTAGCTTTGTGCTTCGTATTTTAAAAGTTCATTCGGCATTTAAAAAAGTTCACACGAATTCGCCTATTCTGTAAAGCCATAATCTATATATTCTAAATCGCACATTTTATTTTTTAATTTTTTTATAATCTTTGCTCTGTATAATAATTAATCTTTTTATCTCATTACTATACATAAACTACCATTTGTGCTTTTTTATAAGTTTTATAGTTTGTTTATGCCATAAGAATCAATTTTTTCATTTATTTTTTCTTATAGCTCATTCTCTTGCATTACCAAATAAAATCTTTCAGCATCTTCAATTTATTCGACTTTAACTTTTATACGGGTTCCACTTTGTGAGCTATTTTTTTTTGTTAAGGATAGTAAATTTTCTTCTCTGTTTTCCAATTAAAAGGCCAATTCTTATTCCCATATTCCTTTTTTTATTTTTTTGGCTTTTTCTTCTATTTACTAATAGCTATTGTCATAAGTTTCACATTCTTCAATATTTTAAACTAATCCTTCTTCTAATAATATTTAAGCAAAGTCAACTTTTTTATCAATAAAGATTCTACCTATAAGATATTTATTTTAGAATGAAATTATATCAAAAACCACATTTCGGTTCATTAAAGAATTATAAGAAAATATCTTTGCTTTTTAATGCATTTTATTCAAAAAAGGTTAATTCGGATCATCTTTAATTGCTTTTATTCCAAAAAGTTTAACTTTTACAATAACATTGAATGTAATAAATCTTAAAGATAATATTTCTGCTGAAACTACTTTCTCTACTACACATTGGTAATGCTCTTTCCTCATACGATCTTTTATCTATACATTATATAGTTAAAGTGTCTCCTTTACACCTATCTCTTTTACATTCGTAATTCCAATATTATTGTTATGGATTCCCAGTTTCTTTATTATCGCCTCTTCCTCATATTATTTAGACTTTTTCCATTCATTTTCTTATTATAATACATCTTTGTATTCAGGTTTTAATCTACTAAATCCTGCTTTTATTAACATTAAATTTAAATTTTATTAATTTTCGCTTATTACTACTACTCCAGAATCGTTTATTTGACCTTTTTCCTTCTCTAAGTAAATATCAACTTCTTTTCCTATGCAAGCTTTTCGGGTAAATTCTCTAGCTTCGAAAGCTCCTTACTCTTATCCTTGAGGACATGATATTCTTGTCAATTATATTTTTTAATAATTTTCTGATTTTTCTCCCAATCTTTCTACTATTAATAAATTTCCATATTCAATTTCTCTTACCTTTTTTTTTTTTTTTTTAAAAAAAAAAAATATATACTATCGCTGTGAATTAATCTAATCTATTGACTATAGATATAAAATCAATTTATTTTTCCCATATTCCTTTTAAATTATGCTAAGCATTTGTTTGTAGTTTATCATAAATTTATAATTTAGAATTGATCTTCAATTTATAAATAGGCTTCATCTTATAACATTGCAAATCCTTATTCTAAAAAAAATTCATTATGTTCAAATTAGCCAATATATTTCGATTTTTATGTGAGAAGATCTTTTTAGTAATCTAATAATATTACAGGTATATATTTATACAAAATATTTTATTTTATCAAAATTTATTCTAAATTTTGTTAATAATAAGGTCCTAATATTATTATCTTTATGTATTATGGTTCAAAATTTATTATATTTTACGTGCTTTGATCATATAAAGCTAATGTACCATCATCATTTATCTAATAGACAAACATATTTAATTATGTATTTAAACATAGTTCCTTTTTATGATTTTGTTTTATTTCCTTTATTTATAAAGCCTTTTCAGTTAAAGTCTCATGCTAATCTGTTTCTAAGTAAATTTCAGTTTTTTCATTTATTTATGCATCAGTTTTTATAACAATTTTTTCACCTATTTTTAAAGTTAAATACTCAAATATAGGAAATGCATCTAAATTATCAGGAAAACAAAGATGATCTTTGAAATCATATAAAGTGTATATTTATTGTTATTTGTTTTGTAAAACTTGTATTTTGTTAGAAGATATTATTTTTTATATTGTAGCTTTTTTCATTTATTAATATTTAATAAATTAAATAAAATAATTTTAATCTTATATATGAAAATTATTTATTTATTTTAAATAATTATTTATCAAAATTATTAATCGTTTTTATATGAATAAATAAATAATTAATTAAAATAATAAAATATTTGATATATATATTTATAATAATAGTTCTTTAAAAGATATAGTAATAATTTATTATTGACTAAAATTATTTTAAAATATTTAATACTAATTTATTTATTATTTACTAATATTATATATATATAAAAAAAAAATTGTACAAACTAAACCGTTGCCTATAGAAATATATCTATTATAAATTAATAACCGTATGGGGATTGATATATAAAGGCACTACGTATCGACAATATAGGACATTTGTCTTGCTTTCGCTTGTGTGTAGAGACTGCATAAACTATACCCCTAATTTAGTCATAATCTTTGCTTCTAGATTTATTCTTTCCGGCTTAATTTTGTGTTAATTTTCACCTTTCACACCTTATTTTTGCGTTTCTCTTTATATAATTGATTTAAATTATATATATATATATATATATATATATATATATTTCTTTTAATATTATTTTGCCTATATTTAGATATAAATTATATTCTTTTTTTTATAAAGATATTAATAATTTAATAATTATACGTTTCATTTTGATTTTTTAAATAAATTAACCTGAGTTAAAGTATAATAATTATATATATTATTTTTATTTTTAATTTATTTATAATTTAATTTTATGATACTTAAATTATCTATTTATATAATTTAATAATAAAATTTGCTGTCCTTTTTAAAAAAATATTGAAATAGTTAATTTTTTGAGCACAAAATAAAATAATCATAATTAAATATAAATTTAATTAATAAAAATAAAATTAGTATAATGTATTTTTTATTATTATATTTTTTATACTTTAAAAAATAAAATATAATAAATATTATTTATATTTAGTTATATAAACAATATTTAACGTAAAAATGAATAATTAAATTTAAACAATAAAAAGTTAAAGCAATAACGAAATTCTAAATGAAGACAAGGAAGAATATCAATTAAAAAAATAGTCGAAAAAAGAAAAGAAAAAATAATTACGCGAAAATAAAATATAAGAACTTCTAATAATAAAAAAAAAAGAATACGAAAAATTAATATCATTAGATTTTTGATTATAATTAAGTTCTTTCTTAAATCTAAACACACACTAAGCCAGATTACTCAAAAAATATGTAAAGAACATAAATATTAGAACTCAGAAATTAAAAAGTTGCTAAATTAGAAAACTAAAAAGTTGAATAAACAATAGAAAATATTTAATAAATAATAGAAAATTAAGAAATATAAAAAAAACATAAATTGTTTTAAAATTTGAAAATTTTTACAATATAGTTTGAGGATAATAATTAAAGAATATAAAAATTTTAAGATATTTCAGCTTTTGAAAAACACCATCCTTTTTTAGGTCCAAATAAAAAATGCGCAATTATTTATAAATAAATAAATTGTAATAAAAAAATAAATATAATAATTTAAATAAATATAAAAAAAGAAAAATAATAAACAGAACCTTTATGGTGTGTTGTGAGAGGTTTTTATATTTTTTTATATTAAAATGCTTAGTCAGTAAAACCATTACATATAATAAGAATTCCTTTATAAAAAATGCATTAATAAGAAATAGTTCAGTTAAAAACTTCATAGAAAAAAGAAAATAAAAAAAAGTATGAACAAAAATTTTTCACATTAAATTACTAAGATTAAAATCCTATTTATTTTCATTTTGATAATTTTAAAATAGGATAAACTTGGTATCAGTATTTTATTAAATAAATTGCTCATAAAACTTATATTTTCTTGTCAGGAGTTCTTGATTTTTCTCCTGATATTAACTTAATTAAATTTTATGAATAAGAAGACTCTGATGAATAAAAAATTAAAAAATTAAAATTTACTTTAATTATAAAAACTTAGAATATAATATATAAAAATATACAACTATAGAAAAGTATTTATATAAAATAAATTATTTTTAGTAAATTAAAATAAAGAGTTATAGAAACTTTTTTTCATTATAGCTTTAATATAATGGTATAGTCAAAAGATATAATAGAATTAGATTTATCGAATTTATAATTGAATTCGAAATATTTAGTTTATTTTTTTTGTCTTTTAAGAGAAAAAGATTCAACTTAATTTTTGAGAATATTAAAAATTGATAATAATGGAATAGAACAAGAAGTTATAGAAGAAATAGGATAATATATTATAAACCCTTAATCTTTTCAATTAGAGTATATTTCATTGGCAAATAATTAAGGTTTTGGTGATGTGGGATGCTTACTTTTTGGAAAGTACTTAAGTGAAAGGCACCTTAGAATGATTAGCAATTAAAAAAAAATGATTATTATTAGTATTTACCTTTTACTTATTTAGGCTTACGAAATATAAATATGAGTGATTAAGGACTTCATAATATAGTATTAAGTTTAGAAAAAATACATAATATAAATATGAATGAAAGAAATATTACTGATTATTAAAAATTTCTGATTTTAGATATTTCTAAAAATGATATTAGTGAAACGTCATTAAGATGTTTAGGCTCTTTATTGAGAAATTTTTAAGGAATAAGTGAATTGGATGTCTCAGAAAGCTTCAGAATAAAATGCTTATATAGTGAATATTTTTTTTAATAATTAATAGAAAACTATTCGATTACAAGTCTTAATTTAAATAAAATTGAAATAAACATTAATGCATTTAAAAGCTTGGTTGAACTTTTAGAGAATAATTATACTTTATAAACTATTTAAATTACGATTACTAAAGAAATTATTTAATATTTAAATTAGAGTAAAAATATAAATCTTCTATAATATTTTATAGTAAATTAAAATAAAATATTATAAAATAATATAAATTTATGAATTTTAAAAATTAATTTAAATAAAATAAAAAAAATGTAAAAAAAAAAATATATTTAAAAAACTAAAATAAAAATTATATAATAATAAAAAAATATAAAAAAAAAAATAGAATAAAATAAATATATTAATTAAAATTAAAATATGAATAATTATTAAAAATAAAAAAATAAAATATAATTAAAAAATAAAAAATTTTAAAAAGTAAAATTATTTTTTATAAAAAATATATTAATTATAAAATATATGAAAAAAATTAAATATTAATATGATATAAAAATAAAAATATATAATAATTAAAAAAATTATATTAATATTATATATTTATTTATTTATTTATTTATTTATTTTTTTATACTTATAATCATAAATATTATTGTTAAATTAATTCTAATTCTTCATTTTTTTTCAATTTATTTTTTTTTAATACCCTCTTTTTAAATAAAATAAAATTTTTTATATTTATTTAAATTTTTTTTATTTTATTAATTTATTTTTATATAATTTTTTTTTTTTATAATTCTGGTTATTTTTATACTTTTTAAAATTTTACATTTTTTTTTTTTTTATTATATATAAAGTTTTTTTTTATATATATATTTTATTTTATTCTTTTTTTATTTATTTTTGTTTATTTCTAAATAATATTTTTTTTATATGTTTTTATTAGTCAAATTAATATATTTATTTTTTTCGATAAAATTTTATTTTTATTTTTATCTTATGTTTTTTTTTTAAATAATGTATTATTTGTTTTTATAATTTTTTATTTTTTATGTTTTAAAATAATTTTTTTATTATTAGTTATATTTATCTAATTTAAAAATTTTTTTTTATACCCAATTCTAATAAATTTTTAATAAACTATATAGATATTTTTGGTTTTGTGATTTATTTAAGAAACCTGTATACATATTTTATATAGTTAATCTAATAAATTACCTCCCATTAAAAAATAAATGAATTTTAGGTATTTAAATTTGAACTACCCAATAATTTTTCATATTAATTTATATCTTTTATTTGTTGTATTTTTTTCTAATGAACATATTTTAGATTAAATGATATTTTTTTATTTCATTAATTAATGTTTTTTATTTTTATTAAGTTTTTAATTTGCAAAATCTATATTTTTATTAAGATAAAGTTTTATAGTAATAGTAAGGTTTTTTATATCTCTTGATGCCGGTATCTCTTTTATATATTTGAATTTTTATATTATTTTAGAGAATATCTTGCTATAATTTTACTTATTTTTTAATATTTTAATTTACTTATAATTAACTAGATTTCAAAAAGATTATATTATTTTATAATATGTAATTATTTGTTGAATAAATATATAAACATTCATGTCTTTTTTCAGAATTTTTATAATATATTTTTTAAAATTATTTTATTAATATGTTAATTTTATTCATTCTTAATATCTAAAATTATGAATTATTATGATTATATTAAAAAAAATTATTGGAATTTATAAATATTTTGGCATTTTTTGTTTTTAATTATTCATTTTTTTTTTAAATTATTTATAAATTAAATTAATATATTTAAAAAACACATAAAAACTTCATATAATGTAGAAAATCAAGAAACATATTAAATTTCTGAATAAAATAATCAACAAAAAGTTATAATTAAATTTGATTCTATGATTTATGAATATACTATATAATATAGTGTACTTATATTTATTTTTTTGAAATCATTGAATTGGTTTTATTATCAATAATTAATTAAGGCAATTTTTCAGATAATTTTTTTGAAATATTGTATGATTTTACAAAAAAGTGATGATAATATTTTAAAGGTAATTAGGAAATGTTAATTGTTCCACAAATCATATTGTAATTCCATATTAATATATAATTTTTATTATTATTATTTTAATTATTAAATAGCATTGATCCTTAAATTAAAAATCACTGTATTAATTTAAATACTATTAGATTCTTATAATTTTTTTTAAAAAAATCATAGGCTAGTCATATAAGGAATAAAATATAGGATTAGTATTAAAATTGTTACACTTGGCAATATTATGACAAGGAGTATTATCTTATTAGAAAAAACAGTTTTTTTATAAACATTAAATATCCATTATTTATTTTATTTAAAAATATAAATAAATATAAATTAATATTTACATATTAATAGTTATTAAAATTTGTACTATTTTTATATATTTAATAAAAAATTATTATTTTATATTATTTGATATTTCTTTATAAATGCTATTTTTTCCTGTTTTGAACCAAAAAAGCTTATTATAAAATTTTATTTTAAATCTTAATTAAATCATATCCTTAATGTATAAGAGTTTACTTTATATTAATGATTTTAGGAATTTGTATATAAATATTACTGTATAATTATATAATAGTACAAAAAAAAATAACATCAATTTTAAATTTATAGGTAAAAGGACAAAAATCTAGAAAAATAAATGGGCTAAAACTTATTAACAGTTTGTCCCTGATATATATAGTATTTTTTTTTTTTGAAAAGTTATAAATAATTTAATTATTTGTTTAAAAATTTAAATTTTTTTAAAATAAAACTTTAAAAAAAAAAATCTTTCTCAAATCTTGTTCAATATAGTTTTGTTTATTTTTTTCAATTCACATTTTGTGTTTATATATTATTAAATAGCAACTTCGTTTTTACTCTATAAAATAAAAACTTTATTTAATTCGACCTATATGGAAGTTTCATCTTCAATCATTTCTTTGTTTTAATTAATTTTATTTCTTTTCCAAACGTTTTAATCAATTTATTCATCATTTTCTTCAATCTCTTAAATGCAATTTGTACATTCAACTTTATTTTTTTTTCATTAAATTCTTATTAAAGTTTGCTTATTTCTTTAATTTAATCTTAATAATTTATAAACTTCGAATTATTTTGGCTATTCCAAGGATTAAATTTTATTTTGAATTCGTTATTTTTAGTATTAATATTATATAAAATCTCATTTGCAACATATTGGTTATTTAAATAATTTTTAATATTTTCTTAATTTTCTTGTTTATAATTTATGTGTTTTTCTTTTTTATTTAAAATAAAGCTTTACGGTCTTTACTGTTTATTTATTTATATTAATTAGTCTTCAAATTTTATTTTATTTTAATTGCTTTTTTCTCTTTATGCGCTATATTCATTCCTTTATTATATTTTATAACTATTTTATCTAGTAATTAATGGCAATATTAAATTTCTATCTTTATTTTATTTTCCTTTGTTAATATTACTTTATGAATTGTTTTATTTAAAGTTTTTTTGATATGAATACATCATATTACTTTCTATTTTTTTAAATGTTTATTTTTTTATTATTATATGTATTTTTAAATGTAATACTTTATTAAAATATAATATTTTTTATATTTTGTTTAAGTAGTAATTATAATTATGTTTTAATATTTTTTATAAAAATGTAAATTTTTATTTATAATAAAAAAAATTATTTTATATAATTAAAAAAAAATATATTTAAAAATTATAACTTTTAATATAGATTATAAGAATAGTGCAAATAAAATTATTTTATTGTAATTTTTTATTTTAACTATAGATTTTAAAAAATTAAAATACAATTAACTTTATTTAAATAATCAAGATAAGGCAAAAAATAATATAAAAATGTTTATAAATATTCTAAATAACATAATATATTAAAAATCAAATTTTAATTGAAAAAATTGAAAAACTTATTTTATTATAAAATAAACAATATTTATTAAATTATACTGAATAAAATTTTCTCTTTCCTTTTAAAATAATTAAAACAGTAAAATTTTATTTATTATATAGTAAAGATTAAAGATGAAATCATGTTTATTTAAATTTATACAAAATAGCAAAAGTTATTATTCCTGCTAAAGCCAAAATTATAATAATCATAATAATTAGACATTTTTTAGTAAAAAATTATTTTTTTTATATTTCTTATTCATCCGTATCTTTAGATAGAAATTGACTTTATTCACTTTGAAAATCTTTGTTAATTAATTGTTCCTCTAATTTAATATTTTAATATTGACCTATTTACTAATTCTAATTAACTTAATAGATGACATTCTTATCACTATTAAAAATTACAGTTTAAAAATTAGATTCTTGATTTTTTTATAATTATTCTTTAAAAAAAATATCTTAATAAGATTAAGACTATTTGATCACTTCACTAATTTCTATTATTTTCCTGCTTTTATCTATTTTATTAAAAATAATTAATTTCTTTTAATTTTTAATTTTTTATAATGAAAAAAACATGGAATAGATTGTTCTAGCTTTAATATAGTCATAGATTCTTAAATTTATTCTTAATTTTCCTCATTTTAATTATTTTTTTATTTTTCTTCACTTTCTTTTAATCTTATGTATTAGCTAATTTTTAAAATTTCTGAACGGCTCATATCATTTTATGAATTGACTTAAATATATAAAATATTTTCTTATTCATAATTCTCTTTATCAGTATTTTTTATGCTTTATTATAATTAACTAAATTTGTTTGCAAACACATCTTAATATGATTTTTCTTATTCATTTTATTCTAATAACTCTTTTTATTTGGATTTTTACAAAACATTTGAATTACTATTTGAATCTTCTAAATATTAATTTAATGGAAGTTAATATCCTATTGCAGATTTAAATGCTTTTTTATAGGATTATAATCTATTTACTTACTAGTTTTAATTTTTTTTATCCTCTTCTATCATTTATTCTTAAATTTATTTTAATTTTTCAAAAATCTTTTCATTATATTTAATAATTTTTTATTTTTTTTACTAAAATAAATTCATTATATAACTTTCTTATAGCTATATTATTACTTTTCTTTTTTAATTACTCATTTAATTATATCTATATTATTCTTGATTCTTCAAATGTATGATCAAAAGTCTAAATAAATTAATTTTAAAGTAAAATTATTTATTAATACTTAATAAAAATTTTTAAATAAAGGAATGCCATTCTATGTGTAGTTTGCTTTTTATTTAAAACAATGTATATATTATATTTTTATATACTATAAGAAATAATTATTTCATTTGTTATATGTGAAAAACATTTTAACTTTTATTAGATTTATTAAACATTATAATTCATGAATTACAAATAATTATATAGTTAAAAAAATCTTTATAATTAATTATATTAAAATAAAAAAATTAAAATATTATAATTTAAATATATATATATATATATATATATATATTTATATATATAATAAAAATTAAATTCGAATATAAAAAAGCATATTATTTTTTTGATTTAGTTTTTTTTAAAAATAAATAAATAAAAATAAAATAAAATAAAAAGATTAAGATATATAAATTCTTTATATTTGAATTTTCATACATATTTATATTTATATTTATATTTATATATATTTATATATTTTATAACAAATTATTTATTTTTATTTATACATATTATGTTAAATAATTTTAAATAAATATATTTAAGGTAAACATTTTTTATATTTTTTTATATAAATTTGTTTATAAATTTTTTTATTATTATAAATTTAACTAAATTTATATTATATTTTTTTTTAATTATTAAAACAAATTTTTTTATTTTTTGTATTCATTTTATAAATTTATTTTAAATTAAGAAGTTCAATTATTTAATTTCATCCTTATCTAGTCTTAATGAATAATTATTTTTCCCTTTCCAAGTTGTGAATGCACTTTCTTTGATATCTTTATATTAGATAATTATAATTCCTGTTTCTTTTAATTTTTTCATTTGTTAATTTAATACATCAGGCAATTCATTAAACTATTTTGGTAAATTATTTATTAACCATTCATATTCATTTATATTTTCTAAAATAATTTTTTGTTTAGTAATTTTTTAGAAAAAAACTTTTAATCCTTCTTAGTTTATCCTATACTTATTAATGGAAAAATTTTATAAAATTAGTTTTGAATTTTTATAATATTATACTTTTATTTCATGTTATTAATCGCTTACTTTTGTTAAAACTTTACATCCACAATTAATAACCTAAGAAAACAAAAAATATATTTTATTAATAAATTTAATATACTTAAAATTCTTTTAATTATTCTTATTTGTTTTTAATTAAATTAATAATTGCAGGAGATAAAAGCAAAATATATTTACTATACGAGCTTTCTTAATTTAAAAGATTAGACTTTACAAAATAAAGTCTATTAAAAATCTCATCCTATTCCTCAATTCCATAAAATGTTGAAATTTATTAAAAGACATCTTATTATTATTTAAATGGAATTAATTTTTCAAGTTTAAAGGAGCTAAAATAATATTATTTATTTGAATTTTAATCATTTTTAGAAATATTATTCACTTATTAAATATATTTTTAAATAATATTTTCCTCAAAATCTTCTTTTTTTATAAATAAAGCAATAAAAAAACCTCCTGTATTATTCAAATGAGGAGATATTCTTATACAATTATCTATTTTTTCTTAAGGAAACATTGTTCTAAAAATCTTATTTTATTGAAATTCTTTATCTACATCTTCATATTTATAATAAATTTTATTCATTTTACCAAAGGTAACTGGCCCTATTTTATTTTTTAATATAAATAAATAAATTTAAAATACATTCATTTAAAATTTTCTCGCATTTAAACTTGTCTAATTAATTTTATATAGAAACAAGCTCGACTTTTCCTTTTAAAATATTTAAAGCGGCTGAAACAACTGCTTCATTTTCAATAGGATTTAACGAGCAGGTCGAATAAACAATATTTCCTTATTTTCTAGCCAAAAAAAGTCCTCTAAGAAGAATACTTAATTATAAATTATGCAAGCTTAAAGCATGCTTATTGTTCCAATTATTTAGTAAGGCTTATATTTTTTATAAATAAAATAAAAAAAATTAATTACATTTCTATTTTCTAATAGTTCCATCTCCAGAACAAGGTACATCACATAAAACTTTATCAAATTCAACTATTTTAGGAAATTAAGTACAATCGTTTGCTGTAATGATAACTTATTCAGCTTTTAATTTTAAAACTTAAAAAGCTAACATAAAAGATCTTTGTTTGCTTATATCATTTGAAAAAAGAAGGCTTTAATCATCATTAATATCAACATCTTATTATATTATTTCTAAAATCTATTTTGTTTTAGAACCAGGAGCAGCACACATATCTATAATTTTTTATCCTTTTTTTACATTTAATAAAATAGAAGGAATCATTGATACTAATTCTTATCTAGAAATATTTCCTATAGCATCTTACTCTTTAAGAAATTTTTTATAATACTTTTTAAAAAAATAATAGATATTTCATTTATTAAATTAATTAGAAATATAAATAATATAAAATATTAAATATATATATAAAAAAATTATTAAAAAAAATAAAAATATTAAATATATAATGTATATATAAAAAATATTAAATATATATCATTTATAAATTATAATTTATATTAAGATTATATATAATATATATAATAAAAATAAAATATATTAAATATAAAATATTTAAAATATATATTAAATTATATTATATTATATGCATATTATTATATAAATATATATGTAATAAATAATATATATTAATAAATTATAAAATATATAAAATTATATATATTTACATATAAATTATTTAAATACATATAACATATTACATTATACATATACATATACATATACATATACATATACATATACATATACTATATACATATTTTATTTTTTTTTTTTACTTTACTATATATTCTTCTGGTTTTTTTTTAATTATATTTTTAATCTACTGTTAGTTAATATGCTGTTTCTCCTTTTAAAAATTCTATTTTCTTTATAATATTTTTTTTATATTTATTTTTTTTTTTACTTAAAACAATGGAAGTTTAGTATCTATTATTTTTATTAATTATTCCTTGTTTTATCTAATATTTTTTTTTAATAAAATTATTTTTATTATTTTTATTTATACATATTTTTATTTATTCTGAATGTTATTGGTAGAGATTTATTACAAATCTTTAATTTTTTTTTATAATATATTTAAAAATATTTTACTTCGTTAAAATTATCTTAATTCTCATCATTTATTAGTTTTACAATTTTATAATACTAATTAAACATAGAATTTTATACTTTAAACTCATCAATTTTTTATTCTTTTTATTTTTACATGTTTTTATTTTCTTTTAAATTAATTAGTTTTATCTTATTTTTTATAATTTTTAAATATATAATAACATATAATAAAACAAATAAAAACAAATC